GCAAATCCAGCAAGGGTCTCCTACAACTTCTCTTAAGGAGCAGATGCAGCAGTTAAGTAAGGGAGCTCAGCAGATAGCTCATAATATGGTGCTTATGCACGAGAAACTTGATCGCCTTGAAGCTACGATTAGTGAAGTAACAAAGCGAAAAACTCGTAAGAGGCGCTACGTACAGCCGGAGGGGTCCCAGACAGTTAGCCAGATAGCTAATCAGATAGCTAAGGTAGAGGGTGGTAGCTGTAATGAGGGTGTAACGCCCGCGAAGAGGGTACGCAGTGAACGGCGCTGCGGACGTTGCAGCCAAGTTGGACACAATTCTCGCACGTGCCAAGTAGAATTAGAGGATACAGAGGATAGCGACGTATCTGAAGAATAATATCCTGCTCTACTTAATAAAAATATTATGGTGGTGTTGCGTAGTACTATTACGAAGGTGAGGTACTAGGATTTCGTGGGGCGCACACTGGGGTGGGGCGCACACTGGTGAAACACGTTAGTTGAGATAACATGAAAGTTGCAGCCTCGTATTCAGTCATTATACTAAGTGATGCACGAACAGGAAAAGGGGCCCAAAAATCTAATTAGTTTAATCAAAGCACATCTCAAGTCGCCGTGACGACTGCAATCTTCATCGCACCACAGAATTTAGATTACCACCGCGGCGTCAAAACCGTGCAGCCAAAGCCTACGTCAAGAAGTCGATGAGAATAGAATGAAATGTGCTTCACTTAGCACAGCATAGTATAATTTTCACCTAAATGAGTGTATTGCCTTGCCATCCATTGGGATTTCGTAGCTTCCTCCGGATTCGATGGTAGATTCAACCTTGTGTGACACTCCATGTCTGCCCGCTGCATGTGACACATTAGATATAGAACGATAAGTGTAACAAGAATCCCCCAACATCAAGTTCATGGCACTCGGAAACCTCGGGATGATTAAGGATTTCTCACCGTCTGAAAATGCGTGGAAACCCTTGCTACTTGATTCTTGTACTCTTGGATGGCAGATGCAGCGAAGATACAGAGAAGCATCCACCACAGAAGAGATTATTTTCGAAGAGTGTAAGTGTATTGCCTCAATTTCGCTTAGTGTGTTTTCTAACCCACCGACATCAGCAAGAAATCCACTAGGAATCAATGCCTCAATGCCTAGAGCAATGACCACACTTTGCCTCTGGCAAGGATGCGTTGAAGAAGCATAACCACTCGATGTCGAAGAAGCTCTAGACCTTTCCCTAGACCCAAATAGACGTAAAGCTGCAGTAGCCCCAGCTACGATGCATGTCAGCTCGATCACCAGGGGCAGATGACATCTACTTCGATGTCCACGACTCATAGTGTTGTCCCCCAGATCGAAACTAAAACAAAAATAACATTTGAGCGTAGTAAACACAACCAAGCTTTCTGATGAGCGTTGCAGTCACCATTCCAGAAGAACCCTAAAATCTCACATCTGCCGACGGGTGCTCCAGAGGACCGCCGCAGGGTCGAGCCGAAGGAAGCGTCGTAACGCAAAAACTCCGCTTGACCAGATGTCTGGACCCGGACCTGGTAATCAGGTCTGAAAAGGATGGATTTTTCGAAGTAATATTTTTATCCAAGATTGATGGAACCTTAATAGAGTCCAGCGGTGTGGAATGGACGACGGAAGTTGTCAGAAGCCGCGTAAGTTGGTCAACTGTAACCGAGACTTTGCAAACTATGCGGGTATTCACGGGACCTAAAACATATGTCAGCAATCCCGCAAATAATACCACATCTTGATTCTTCTGGACGTTTCAAAGAAAGTTACTCAAGGTCTGGCGGTTGTGTGTTCCCTTCGTAAGTTGTGGCTTCAGGCGTCCCGCCTCATCCCGCCTCATCCTGCCTCATCCTGCCTCATCTTGCCTCATCCTACCTCATCTATCCAAGTCAACACACCTAATGTAAGTTCACCAACCTAAAACAGGTCAAGAGCGCCTACCAACGCTATCCGATTTCCTTTACGTCCTCCTTTTCACAGCCTTGAGAGGACAAATGCATAGCGGAGCTTATAGGAAGTTCCCAGTCGATACTGCGACCATTTTTCGCACTTTTTGGAATAACTTATAAGATCTGATTCATGTAGAATCTCTTAGACTCTAGCTTAATGGAGTACTTAAGTAGAGAACCAAACCATACAGAATTGTTTAATGAAAGCTTTTGAAGTCTCATAGCCCTGAAGCTTTTCCTCTGGTATTGTTTGGTCTTCGAATGGAAAGTCGTCGAATCAATAAAAGGATCTTTCAATCCCATCCCACGTCCTAGGTTATTTTAGACCAAACGCCCTAAGCCCGTCTCCTGCTTTAGTGACGAAATGAGAAGTCAGTCTTTCACCTTAAAACGGGTATTTTGCTTTCACTTTTGGATGTGGTCCTGACTTTCGCGCGTTTACTGTCTTTCTAACTCAAGATTCAAAATATGGCAAGGCTATTATAGACATCTTTGCCTCCCACACAGTGCTGATGGTACCAGGATGGCGCTTTGCAACATCAGCATGAATTTTGTTGATCTGCTCCACCTATGCCTTAGTCTTAGCCGAATTACATACTTACATAGTATATCCACTGCAAGTTCATTGGCTGCGTTCCGTAATAACGCTACTGACCTCGCCTAATCACTTTGCCAGCATGAACAGCAGTCGCACCTGCCAGCGTCTGAGTCAGTATGCAAAAGACTGCGGTATATCCTAGTGCAGTAGAGAAACCAGAACCTATGAAAAGAGTAGCCGTGCGGATGATCTAGTCATATTCTGATTCTGGATCGAGCTGGGTTATTATTAACACTAATTTGCGATCACTTAAATTAAGCCCAAAGTAGTGTAAAGCTTACTTGATCGAGGTACTTTGATAACCGCTCGCCACTCCAGTCATCTATTGCAGGCCATTGAGAAGTTATTCTTGTGCTCTGAGCTGGTAATCGAGGCATGCGAGGAAAATCCTTGAACTGTTCTAGGGTGTCTGTCCCAGGTGTGCAACCCAATGAACCAGTTCGACCCAACGAGCCACGCGAACATCAAAACACGACTGTCATCCCAGATTCAATGCACAATGACTTCGTCACTATGGATCCAGTTCAGAAAGCGATTGTACGTGTGAGATTGTGTAAAGTCTGTGTATCTTTATCGCGAAGTTGCAAAAGGATTACGGCCAATAAACGAGGCAGAACTGTGCAGTGCGGCGATATGCCGGTATAATCATGCTTACTACAGTAGATTTTGACCCAGTGAGAGCTATGAGACCCTAAATCGAAGTGTGTTACTGCAGATCGAGATCTATTGAACGGCCAATCAAGATGTCTTCTCTACTGAGTTGTAAAGTATGCAGCAGGTACCATATCCAGCTCGACCAGAGGTTTTGCTGCAAACATCTGGGGGCCAGTTGTTCCGGTGCGAAGGGATGTACGTTAATTATGATGTAGACAAGAAAGGGCTCGAATGCTGACTCAAAGCTTCGCCTTCACCCACGTTTCCAAGACTTGCTGACTACCTGTTCCAGAGTCACCCTTATATCCCAGGATCCTCTCCATAATCATCTCATCATGGCACGCTTTTGGCGTAAAGACGGTATTCACAACTCCACCTCTGCTACCAAATCCTTTGGTAAATTTTTCCGCAAAAGCTGCAATGCCATCTTTGAGCACCTCATTGTCGCCTGCCCAGATCAAGACTTCTTCCACAAAATCGGCAACAGGCGCCCACCAATCCGGAGGTGCCAGAACAGGCTCGTTGTACAAGTCGCCGGCAAAGGGAGAATCCGAGCCGAGAAATGCAGCAGCCCATCGATTGAGAACCCGAGCATCAAGCATGTCGCGTTCGGCATTTGTGGTGAATGCAGGGGTATTGGTCTGGGTCAGTGAGCACCATGGTGAAATGAGTAAAACACCATGGAGCCTGGCAGGTAGTGAGAGCGGTGTAATGTCGGGATGCGGGTGTGCAATATGCGAAAGGGCGCCGAGTAAAAGATTGCCGCCAGCGGAGTCGCCAGCCAGTATGAGATCAGAGGGACTGCGACCCTGGGTGTACACTAGATAGTCGAGAAGCTCGACGGCTTGCTTGAGCTGGGTAGGGTATTTAGCCTCGGGTGCAACATCGTATGCGAGAAGCAATGCAGACACATCGGGACCAAGAGACTTTTGGAAGTCGTCAAGCCAGAGTATGTGGCCAGGTCCAGCAGGGAGAACATATCCACCGCCTACAATTGTCAGCTGTCAGGGTCCAGTTGTGGGTGATACACGGTTACTTTGACCCACCATGGAAGTATACCAAGACCTTGCTTGCATTGCTTTTTCCCAACCAATGCGCTTGTGTGCCACTTGGCAGGGTTATGCTGTCTGGCGCCAACTTTTGCTGCTCAGTATACTTGATATAGTTTGTGGTTGTAGAGCCTCCGTTCAAGTAACGGTCATGGACGAGATCGAGATTGCCCATATTAGCCCGGGAGACGGCAAACATGATATCCTTGAAGTATGTGTTGGAGCCATTGTCGCCTTTGAAGGGCGAGGTTAGAGAACGTTGTAGAGCGGCGCCGACTGTAGACATGTCAGGTCGTGATATGTAGTAGAGGCAGGATAGGGATGCGTACTAGCCTTTAGCGTAACCGAAGCGATGCGTAGCCTGCTCACGTGATAGTCGGCCATGGTGTTGAGGATGGATGATGTAGTATTGAGGGCGACCAACGTAGTGCTGAACACAGTGCTGATGCTGGGGCCATGGCGGATATGTGCAGTAGAGAGACGGGGAGGGATATCCGGAAGAGCCGCGACCTTGACCCTCGGCAGAGGCGCATGACGGGAAGGATGGAGGTGGATGGGGGTGGATGGCATGCATTCCCCGCATTGCTAGAGGCCCCACTGCGTGCTAGCGCCAGGGCTCATGACTCGGGACAGGATTTGACCAAATCAATCCTGAATCGCATCCCACACAGCTTCCATGATCAGCATGGCGTCTGCGGGCGAGGCAGACACACCCGAGCCTACGCCTAGGGACGAGGGCTCGGGCGATGGTAGCCAGCCCAGTAAAAAGCGCAGAACCGGCCCAAACTCGCGTGGCGTTGCCAACCTCACCCCCGAACAGCTTGCTCGCAAGCGCGCAAACGACCGCGAGGCCCAGCGCGCCATTCGCGAACGCACAAAGAATCAGATCGACGCCCTCAACCAGCGCATCCGCGATCTCGAGAGCCAGCAGCCCTATAGCGACCTACAGGTAGTCCTGCGCGAGAAGGAAGCCATCCAGGCGGAGAATGCCGACATCAAGAAGCGCCTCGAGAGTGTGCTCAGCATCATCCAACCCATTGTCCGCGCTACGGGCGGCTTGAACGGTACGACTCCAGAATGTGGAAGAAAAGGACGTGTAAGAGGAAGGAGATGAATAAAGACAAATGACTACCGACGAGAGACGGCGTCTGGAAAAATGACTGCTGACGACTTGTAGAACTCGCAGCCGCCGCCGAACGCTCGCCCCTTTCTCCTGTCCAGCCTCCACAACAGCACCAACATCAACAACAAAACCAAACCCACCATCTCCAACAACGCGATGCGCGCCAGCTCAATGCCCCCATCGCTTCGGCCTCACCGCACAATAGTGTGCCCTCGCCCGGCGTGCACGATGCAAACGCAGCCATAGGCACAGGCGCATGGCTCTATCCCAACGATGCGCCCACGAGCCATCTGCGCCGCTACTCGAGCGACAGTCCAGGCCCTCAATTCCACCAGGCGCGCATCAATACCGATATGCCCTTTGACGAGCGTCTAGGCGTCGACTTCTTGCTCGACAATGGCCAGCGCAGGGCCGTCGACCCCAACCTGCCACCTCCACATCAGATGCGCCCCAGCAACGTCAGCACCAGCCAGCACGCACAATATGCCCCCAACATGGTCGCCCACTTGACGTTGCCGCGCAATCTGCCTGCCACCTGTCCGCTCGATGTGATCCTGCTCGACTTCCTTCAGGACCGGCAGAATCGCGCGGCTGAGGGGGTACCAGTCAAGACGCTGGTCGGTCCTCACTATCCCAACTTTACCTCGTTGGCCCACCCCGACCGCGCTGTTGAATCACATCCATTGTCCAAACTCTTCACAGACATTCTACGCACATTTCCAGACATCTGTGGGCGCCCGGAGCAGGTGGCTATCGTGTTCATCATGTTCCTGATCATGCGCTGGCAAATTGAGCCAACACAGGAAAACTACGACCGATTGCCACATTGGGTAACCCCACGTCCGTCGCAGCTGTTTACCGCGCATGCATTGTGGATCGATCATCTCCCTTGGTATGTCGTGCCCTGCCTTGCCCTGCCTTGTCCTGCTTTGCCCTGGAACTTCCCCACATGCCCCCTTGCCCCCCTGCCAAACCCACCCACACTCCCACATACATGACTAATCCGGTCCAGGCCCCGTCTTCGCGACAAGCTCATTGCTGCGCAACCCCAGGTCTCGTTTGAGAACTTCTTCATCCCGTTCACCACCACAATCTCCCTCAACTGGCCCTATGAGCATCGCGATTGTCTGCTTCCTGCCTCGGTAGTCCGCACCTCGACTCTCTCTACCACGTCGTCCATCTCGGCATCTTCGCCCTTTTCAACGCACGTGAATGCTGGCTCGCCACAGGGACCTGCAACACCACAGCCGCTCACTGGCAATGCGGCTGCTTGCATACCGAGCATGGAGCAGTTGCCCAAGGAAGACGACCAATGGCTCATCAACCCAGCCTTTGAGACGCATTTGCGCGACCTCAACAACTGGACTCTAGGTCCCAGCTTTAGAGGGACCTTTCCCATGTTTGCCGATGCCGTCAAGATTAAGGAAGGGAGATGACGCGACTTGTATATGTATCATGCCTTCTGCATGCCAGTTGGATGGCGTTATGTTTGGTATGGTCTGTATGTTCATGCATGACTTGGGAAACATTTTATTTTAGTTGATTGTATTAACACAAAGTATCGGGGGGTATCTTAGTATCCATTATTTCAGGCAACAATATAAGTTTTCCTGCAAAAGGCCTGTTGTACACGGTGTCGTCGGCAACCGGTGTCGTCGGCTACCCGGATCAAGCCACCAAAAAACAACGCCGCGCCACACGCTGTCTTACGTAGACAAGATCCCTCAAGCCTACGCACGCGAACAGCTCATTCATCCAAATGTCGGTGGGTTTCACGACACGGCCCCCTTCGCGGTGGACCCTCTCTCGTTGCTGTCGTGGGAAAAGTGGTCAAAGCACCACGGACGTGGTCGGCTCTAACTGGCGGTCAGCCTCTCGTCCCAAACGCACGCCCCCACTTTTAAACCACCTACCATCACGTATACCCTTTTCGGGGGCGGACTCGACTCACTTTCGCTTTTGCATAACTACATACTACCCTTTGCTCTCTTTCTCTTTTTCCTCTTTCATTCCATACATAATCCATAACTTCTTTGCGCACAAAGTAATGTCATCTTTGACCCTGTCGTCTAACCTCAACATGGAAAACGTCTTTCCCGACCCCGTTCACCAACAAATCTTCTCGCATCTGAGTCCCCGCCGCGGCGAGCTGCCGATTCATGTGGTGGAGACTATTGCTGGTGCGTTTGCCCTCTTCCCCCTTCTGCCCTTATTCCCTATCTTAACTTCCTTCCCCCCCTCATTCCGTCCCGTCTTGCCTAAACGGGCTGAGGAGAAAGGTGGAGCGGAGTAACGGAAAAAACAAACAAATGAGAAAACAAATAAGCAATCAGCTAATCGGATGTGGTCAACAGGCAATATCTCTTTCCTAGTCAAATATACGGCAGGCTACAAAGTTCTCCCCTCACAAGTTTCCATCAGCGTCGTCGACGTGCGCGGGCCTGATAACGGTCTGCTCGGCCACAAGGCCATGGTGTGCATACACGGCGCCCCGGGCCGCTTCAAGGTCGTCGTTACCAAGGAAGTGGCATATGGCCGCAATGTCGTCATTGGGCTGAGTGAAAAGGTGGATCGCGTTGTACGGGAGATTATCAGTAAGGAGGGCAACGATGGGTTTGGGGATTTTTGAAGAACCAGTGGAGTTCAGGATGAAGTAACGATTTCTTTTACGACTTTGAGGGCATAAGAGCAGGGAGCAAGACACCCATTATCTTTCCTTAGACGGGGTTTTTTCACATCAGGCACCGGCTGCCGCCCACATGGCTGGAACCCACCCATCTCCGGGGTGCTGCGGCGTTTTTCATTAGGCGTTCGGGTCTATTTCCTTTCTCCTGTCTATTTTTTTCTTCTCCGGAGAGACTTTTCTATATACTATACTGGTCACGAGGAAGCATTACTACCCTCAGTGCGTACGCGCCCATTCGCGATACCAATCCAAACATTCAGCATTAGCAACGCTGGCACTTGTCTTTACGTTCATCCCGCACAGAATCTGCTTGACCGCTCCTTCGACCCTGTTGGCACGTTAGTATGTTGACACACTCTCTATTCGATACTGGAATCTCACTTTTTGCCATTGGTCGTCACTGGGATTTCTGGGCACTCATCTACAATCGCAGGGACATGGCGTGCACTGAGCGACTTCTTAATCGTCAACTTGATCCTGTCGACCAGGTCAGATGTCATTTGGCGTCCATCTGCCATTTTGAGGAACAGCACCACAGTTTCATCCGTGTCTGTTTCTCTTCTGCGGCCGATACAGAGTGCGTCGGCCACGTCTTCTGGGAAATGCTGGAGCACTACGTTGTAAATCTCGGCGGATCCGAATCGCACGCCAGCAGGCTTGAGGATACCATCGCTGCGGCCAAGCATCCAGAGTCCGCCAGTCTCTGGGCTGAAGCGCACAAAGTCACCGTGATGCCACACAGGTCGCTTCTTTTCGTTGGTAAACTTTTCAAAGTACGACTTGCGGTACTTTGCCTCACCGTCAGTACCCCAGAATGCCACTGGCTGGCATATGAATGGTTTGGTGCAGACTAAATCGCCTGGTTCACCTGACGACGAAATGTCGGCGCCTGTGAAATCGTATGCAGCAATAGCCATGCCCAGACCAGGGCCCTGAATCTCGCCCTCGTAAACTGGAAGCAGTGGGTTAGGCGCGCCAAAGAGCGAGATAATGTCCGTGCCTCCAGTTATGCTACCGAGATTGATAGACGACGGGAATGCTGAGTAGACATAGGAAAAAGTTGATGGCGCCAGTGGAGAGCCAGTCGAGTAGATTGCCTCGAGCGTATCAAGACCGAGGCCAGCCGCAGCTGAATCGACCGATTTTTGTTCTAGAATGGATAGGTACTTGGCAGAGGTACCAAAGTGCGTAATGCCAAACTCATTAATGAGGCGGTGCATGGCGAGATCATCCGCCACCGATGTCGACGGATCGGAGCGGTCCACGTAGCGAAACGGCGACCCATCGTACAGAACCAACGTGGCCCCTGACGCTAGTCCGCTGACGAGCCAGTGCCACATCATCCAAGTACAGGTGGTGAAGTAGAAAAGCCGCGATTGGGGCGCAATCGAGCAGTGGAGAATATGCTCCTTTTTGTGCTGGAGCAACGTACCAATAGCTCCGTGCACAATGCACTTGGGCGCTCCGGTCGTGCCGCTCGAGTACAGTATGTAGACTGGGTGGTCTGGCGGCAGTTGCCTGAACTCGAGCTCTGCTGTTGACTTGAGCGAGGTAAAGGTAGCGTAGTCGTATGCCTTTCCTGATGCAACAGGTATTGAACTGGCGTCAACTGCAACGGACGCAACTGTTGGGAAAACAATGACAGCCTGGAGAGTTGGAAGTTCCCTGGTAATCTCGATGACTTTGGGCAAGACTGGATGGCTTCGGCCGTTGTAGAAGGAAGCGTTATCGACGAAAAGGAGTGCTGGCTCTATTTGGCGCAGTCTGTCCAAGACAGCATGCACTCCCGTATCTGGACTGACGGCTGTCCAGACTGCTCCCAACGATGTCGCTGCGAGCATAGCAACCAATGCATTCGTGTGATTAGCGACATAACCCGCAACTCGATCGCCTTCCTTGAGACCTAGAGATAGCATGCCCGCCTGGCATTGCTTCACCCTATCTCTTAGTTCCTTCCATGTCACTGTCTCCCGCGTAGTTTCGGTCGCAGCAATGACAGCGGGCGATTCGGGGTCGACTTCCTGGGTAGGGAACAGCAGGTTCTCGGCAAAATTCAATGTTGATCCCGGGAAGAAAGATGGTCGTGGAAACATGGGAGCATCTGGATCCACTGTCTGGCTATTGGTGAGCTGATAGATATGCGCTTGGGGTTACAACGACTGACCGACGACGGCGTTCCGTTGTGTCTAATGCCGACGAAATCCCAAGTGCTCTTCCAAAAGGCATCGACATAATTGATGCTCCATTGATGTAGCTGTGAGTAGTCTAACAGATGGAGATTGTGTGTTTTGTTCACTGACTCGAGGAAGCGGTACATGGGGGTAGACTGCGGAGAGGGGTGCTTCCACAAAAGTTTGGAGGACGATGAAGTGCCACTGGCGCCATTGACGCCGTTGGTGCCGCTCATTGCGTATGTATCTTGACTGAGATTATTCGCGTTCGCGCAAAGGATGACTCTCTGCTATATCACGCGTGTTGCGGCGAGTTTTGTGTCTGAACATCGCAGCGCTGGCATGTTTTTTTCTGGTACCTGGCGGCGATCACCTCGGCCGCGCTTTCCCCCACCCATTTCCCCCGAAGTTGGTCACCGGCAACTTCCGGCAACGAACTCGGGTCGGTTCCCCCACATGGAGGCTACCCGTTGACTCGCCGGCTTCATTTCTTACTTTTATCTCAACTCCAACTCCATCTTGTTGCCAGTCTTGAAAGCTCTACTCTCCCTCCACTTTGTCCCAACCCTGGGAATCACCGTCCCACGGTGCGATGCATGATTAAGGGGATGCCAGCTGTCTTTTAGCCCCCACTGCACCGACCACACCCTGCAAGCAAAGGCAAAGGCCAACGGCTGTCACGAGACTATGCGCCACACCAGAATGTCGACCTTCTGCGTGCCGCCCCGCCCGTTCCTAGACTTGGGTTGAGTTTTGGACCAGTAATTCGGACATCCGTGCGAGACTTGAGCGGTACGAAACAATCTATCATGCCCATGTTCAAATCATACCCGAGCCGAAGCGGACGCTATCACTAGGACATGCAGCAACTACATGCATACTGACGAAAGACGCTTATGCCAGACACACTGTCAGCAACGTTTCACCTCGCCAGCCATGACTAGCGCGAGCAAGGTCAGGCCATGGCTGGTCCCTCCTCCATCTAAGTAACTCCCGGAACCCGGTCGAAATCATGTCACGCAACAGATCCTAGAAGCCATCTAGTACCGTATATGTGGCCGCCATGAGTCAGTGGGAAATATCGAGCAAGAACCACACCAGCTACGGCTGAACCACTTTGTGGCTCCTCAAGCGCCGTAAATATGCGGATGTTTGCCTCGTTGCCTTCTTTCAAGACGCTATACCACTTGTGGCCTTCTCTTACATGAGCAGCCTGTTCTTCTCACCCCTGCGTGCACTCGACAGCCTGTTTCATCCATCGCTTTGTATGATAAACATCAGTATGAGCGTATTCAAGTAGTGTCAAGCCACCATCTTCCTTATGGGCTTCTTCACTGATGGCATCGCCTCTTCGTCATCCACGACCATTGTCTTCGAAGTAATTTCAGGCATGCTAGAAAAGAACCCAGGTTTAAGATTGGTTGCAGATCTTACCTATTGTAACCTTAGCGAATTCTTGCTAGTCGATCAACTGGTCCTTCACCTGTCCGTACGTTGGCGTATACATTTCTATTCCTTGTCAGTGCAGTGGAGACCACAGGTATGTCTCCCTGACTCGATCCCGGCGCGCGTAATTCTCTGATTGAGCGGCACACATACTGAGTAGTATGCGGATGTCGATCGGGACCTGTCTGTACCGGACCAAGCTCAGACCGAGATCTGGATAGCTCGTTAGATGCGACTACCAAGACATTTTCTTGTGCTGTAAAATTTAACTCGACACTCTAGTTAACAGAATAGATTTTGAGAAATTCAGCATGACATCATCAATTCTTGGGGGGTGACTAGCAACAATGCTTTGTCGCAATGGTCCCTGGCCCTGCAAATCATCTGAGTGCCCCATGTGGTGTAATCGATTCCGAGCTGACCATGGACTGCACAGGGCGCACTGGGCCTTGATAAAGTTTAAGCGTAGAGCCACCCTGCCTTCTACCCTTGCGAATAGGTAGGGATGTTGCCTGCTCAAACTCGCTCCTTCCAAGCAATTGTATACCTTCACTGTTGGAGGCATGACCCACTCTGTCGCCAACCGTGAAGGTGTGAGTGGAAACACTAAGGTAGGTCTTATATGCATCACCCTTTCTTGCAGCACTGTTCTGGAGACTCAAATAACTATAAAGCGCAATCGTACTGTATTCACAAAAGCAACGATCCTAAAATCCACAGTCTTCCTTACTATAACTTATAATTTTCTTTTCCCAGCTTAAATTGCGGACTTTGCCGGTGCCAAAAAACGCAGGTATGTATACCACATGCTTCTATCATGCCTGTCCAGCCATGGCTCACTCAGCTGCTAAAACAACCAAGATACTCGAGAGAAGATATGGAAAGAGAGCCTGGCAATACCCACGGACAAGCAGCTCGCGAAGACAACTCTCTCAAATTCTGTGACCAAGAAATAGATTTGCCTGCAACGACTTCAGACTCCAGACGATACACGCAAACCAATTGTCCTGTTCACAACCAACAATTTCCAGAACCTCCTCGCCGAAAAATTCCTCCTGGGGTACACCCCTCTCAACGGCTTGAATACACTCCGTCCTGCGATCTTCCAGTGGGAATGTCAGGAGGCTGCAGAGTTGGGACTTCTGCCTCCGCAGGGTGCATTTGTACATACGATCCAGATATATTGAACGATGAGATGACACGCGAGGTAGAAGTCATCATCCAGGAAGCAAAACAGGAAGGAGGAAAACAGGAAGAGAAAAAATCCACCTAGTGTCGGTGTCTGATGGCTGACATAAAGTGCGATCAGACCATTCTTCTTTCATTTCCTTCAACGTCTCTCCATCATAGTGGCTTCCAGTTGCTTGGTTGCTTTTTAATCGCCCCTTTCTCAGCCAGTATGAATCTACAATGCCCCGACAAAGCGGTTCTCCTGTGACAAATCTGAAATACTCTGGTTACAAGAAGCTTAGACCCATTCTGAAGCTCGTACCACGGACCCGAGACCTCCGTTTTCCGAGGCATCTTGATATGATTGGGAGATGTAAGGATGTTGCTTTGCGGAACGAGCATCCTTGGCAACCAAGCCTGATCGCCGCCCTGCGTCTCCCCATCCCAAACGAAGGCGGACTCAGGCCTGGTTGTTAGGGCGGTGGCCTTTTTTTCGGTGAATTGACGCACTGGTACGTGCAAACCTAGACGACCGCGAGCCGAGACGAATGACGCTATCTGGTTGACTCGACAGGCACTACATACACACAAGTAAAGGGCTGAAGCGCAACGGGGTGGCTGGCCTGGTGCTCGGCAAGCATCAACCCCATGACCTTTGACATCCAACCTTTTGCGTAAATCCCAATTACAGTCGTTTTGTATGTGTGGCAACCGAGACATGTTTGGCGCTTACCATTTTCAGAATGATATGATTCCAATTCAGTATTGAGTCGACATGAACAGCCAAATTGATTCCAAGAATCCAAATCCGTTGTGAAGACCAGGTCTGCTCAATTAAGCTTCATCTGATACTAACAAGTCGGTTGTCACCATCAATGTCCTGTATATCAGCTATTCGTATGGATTTAATCGACGGCAAGGCGATTACAGTCAATTCTGTCTCTAATCCTTACCTAGAGTGTGGTCTTTGAGATTCATTTGTGGCTTGTTCTCACCGCTACAATGCCTTCATTTCCGAGCAAGGCTCTAGGCAATACTCGATATCGATTCTATACACCCCCTTTCCCTAAAACTATACAGGCACAAAGCACAGACTCAATGGAAATCATACAAGGATGAGAAGCAAGTTGGGCCAAGTCCGCGGTGAGAAAGGAAGTAACGGATAGCTCCACAGTCTGCCAACGCACAGCGTTGCGCAGCTGAATGTCTGAGGGTGAAACAAAATTGTATTGATTGTCATGCCGAAGGGGCATCCATCACCATGTCAAACGACAGGCTTATCTCGTCTTTGGCCCGGGTAATTGGTCTGCTCTTCGTATTACGCGCCGACCAGACGGCACTTCTGCAGGAAAAGTGGATCCGACTAGTACTGCTTCTGCTAAGGCTGTAACGGTTGCTGTGTATGTTTAGGGCGCCTCCATAACCCGGTCAGCACTTGAAGGTAATCCTGCAATTCACATCCGCAGATCACTGCTCACTGGCAGCAGTTAAAATATTGGGTATTGTTGAAAGATTGATCACTAGCGCGCCTACCAGTTATCAACACCCTTGTCATGGCTGCATGGCGCCTCACCGGTGGCCAATCATGACGCATGCCACGGAAGAGCAAGGCCTTCCATGGCCTCTTCCATGAATTTTCCAAGGCACAGATCAAATTTTGGCATGTCAAACAGTTTCGCTTGAACACTTTTGTCAAGCAGGGTTTCGATCAGATGATAGCTTTTACGACCCATGTAACCACGTGGCAGCCGGCGGGGTTTGAGGCTAGCAGCTGTGGCCATTCTTACTTTGTCTACTTCGATCCATGCAACCGTTGTGTTGTGTGCACCTTGAACCACAGCCCCTCACTGCGGAAGGGTAATCGACAGTCACCCACAAGTAGATTGCATCGCTGCTTCACGCACACATGTCGCAAAACCAGGCACAATTCCAAACCTACCATATCTAAACTCGGCAGGGTTTTGTATCTAGCTGTATCACCGAATGACTGCCAACACGTCTGCAAGGCGCAACATGACTGCCGTGATAGGGGCACTAGGATCTTAGATCACCGCCCGCAATATCACCCTGCGCTCGAGGCAGCTTCAGTGCATTCCATGCGTCCTACCGTTAGCTAGAGTGTTCCGTACATTGATTGTCAATGCCAACCCAGCTTCCTCAAGGCTAGCGCCTAACTAGCCATGCAGCCTTTCCAACAGGCCCTGTCCCATTTCACCAAAACACACTGCACAGCCCCCAAACTCTCCTCATGATACTGACAGACTGACGATCATGGCACAAAGAAATGTCGGTGTGTTCAGTTCATGCCCCGTCTTCGTGGCAAAATCGATCAGGTGGTAGACGATCCTAAGCGCCTCATCACAGCGACGTCATCCGCCCGACAACAACAACAACGATGACAACGCTCATCATACCGCCCATACCTTCCACCCACATGGCCCGAGTCGCACTCCCGGAACCGCATAAGCGATGCCTGGGGCGAAGGCAATGCCAAGTGGAAAAGTGTTACCAGACCTCCGCTTCCGTTCACGTTCCCCGGATCCAAACTGGAGAGAACCCGCTTCCCCCCCCCCCCCCCGGACCTACTCGGCAAACCCGAGTCTGTAATATCGCTACACGCGGAGCACCCTTTTTTCTGCGCACCGCCTGCAAAGTCGTACAACGGCAGCGGCGCCGGAAGTTGGATCCGCTGTGTCTCTGGTTGGTCACGGCACAAAAGGCATCATGCATCGCCCGTAGGTGTTGATTCTGTGTGGCTTGCGAGGTGTCATGCGGCAGGCACAGACTCTCTTATTACTTTTGCACTCCACTCGGGGGAGTTTTGATTGCAGTGGTACTACTCGCTTGCGGCTTGGAAGGGGGTCTGCCCAGCTCGTGTATCCCATGACCACGCTCAGCAAATCTTGTTCAGCCTTGTCCAGCAGCGGCGGTGGTGGCGGCGGGTGCTACAGACTAGACAGACGCGGATGCGGGAGAGCTTCCATAGGCTTATTGTACATGCAGCAATACCTGCTGCATTGGGCTTGCACGGCATAGAAGAGCCGCTCGTGTATGTATGTGTGTGTGGGCTGTGAGAGTGTATGGGCCGTGTCCTTTTTCTTACACCCAGCGACAGTGAGGGAATTGGTTGGAAGAGTGAGGCTCTGGAGCGGTGAGAAAATGCATGCTGTGTAATTAGGTTTACTCCTTTTCTCCTTCACGATAGAAAAATCATATATAAAGAGCTGAGATTCCACTTGCTGCCGCAGCTGTTTTCGTTTGGTTAGATTAACGCTTCGGCCATGGTGGCTTCAAATCAGTCCAACTCCATTGTACATGCTGCCACTTGTGGCGCTCCCCAACGCGACAATTATGATACTGCATCTCCGCGTCATAGTGGCCTAGCCGATCCTTCTATCAACGGCGCGCCTCGCCCCTTTACTCTTCAGTGTGACATGGAGATCGTGTGTGTGGGAACGTGGATCAGCAATACAGGGTCCCAATACACCGACTCCGTCTCGAACAATGGTACTTGTGCATTTCCATATCTTGTACTAGATAAAAGAAGAGAAAAGGTGCTGATGCTTTTGCAGTACGCGCTGCTGCAACGCGGGCTACTTGCATACGCCATCGCAGTCTACATGAAGCATGTCTCGAGTTTACGACATGTGCTCGAAGGGTTGAACTTTTGGTGGAGTTTGATGGAGATGGTATAGCGGGGGTTCTTGTGGGTGGAGAGGAGAGTAAATCTGCAATGTTAGTTTGTACGTGTGAGGAGTTGATTGAGATCTTTGGCCATGAGGATGGTCAGAGTGTGAATGTGGGAGAGGGTACCAGCGAATTTAGTAAGTCGGAAGGAAGGAAGAAGTAACTATGATTGTTTTGCAAGTGTTTTGTATAGTTGGCGAATGGCTAATGGCCATCTGGGCGTAAGGGGTTTGGATGAATTCTAAGTAGAGTATGGATTTGAAGATAGTGAACTTAGGAAACTATACCCCTGTTTTTTTCTGGAGAATATGGGAACGAACGTAGGATGTATCGAGCTACTCTTGCCTCAAAACCAACCAGCCCTCTGATGGTGCGGTTGATGATGCCAAGAGCCTATGCTTAGTGTGTCCCGACTACAGAAAACTCGGTAGTTGGGGGTTCGAGGCTAGAAGCTGGACGTTCAGCTCGGCGTCGAGATCTGGGCATAGTGGATTAGCTAGTGCAGGGGTGCTGATTGGCCGAGACTCATGTGAAGGAGCGTGACTGTTTTACGGTACCAATCTGACCATGGGAAATAAGTAGGATGTCTACAACGGCGAAAGGCGGTGACGGTGGTAAATTGACGAAATGATCGACACTCGCACAACCATGGGGAGGCTGATTTTCTATAAGGCTGCAGGTGTGTGCACCATTTTTGTGGAAAGTTTTTTAGCAGCTGCTCCAAGACGGTTTACCCGAGGCTCGCTGCGAGGCCGACCACCATGACCTCAGAAGCAGAGCCTAGGTTTAGCCATGAGGGTCGATTCTATTGGCTGTCCTTGCGATAGACATGAATGAGAGACGACAAACGCCGGCTTGTGGGTACTGTTCGCTGGCGGGTTTTCTGGGCTGACAGTCCGGTGGACATGCCTTAAGGCTAGAATCGTGGCTGTGCATGCACGAACCGCACACGGCGTTACCAGTACCGTGATACTTCAAGGCGCGAGCGATTTAACGATAATCCCGCAGTATTTCCAGGGATTTTCATGTAGCTTACCACGTCTCATGAATAGAGTTCGCCAAACGGCCAATGTAATCCGCAATGTTGTGTCTGAAGTATAGGTGGCAGGGCTCGCACCTGACATCATGCAGGTTAGCTTAGTCCAAGCACTAAGTAGCGTATGCTCTAGCGCGACGTCTCGAGTGGTTGGCGCGTTTAACCAAGACTTCAGAGGAAACCATGGTTGTAACCTGACTACTTCCACCGTCCCTACGCAGGATTTCTAGTGTCGGTATTTGTTTGCGGACGTGCGGTTGTTGCGAGTTGACGTTATCCGTGCGAACCGGCCAAGCCTATACTTATACCCCGCCGGCTGAACCAGCCACACCTCTCATCCACCCCCTCATCGTCCCTGTGGCTGAACACTCACCCGACCCTTACTTATCGCCATAGTACAGTACATAGCAAACCATGGCAGAACTAGTCTCCGGCATTGCAAAGCTCAATCCCTTTTCCAAGAGAAGCGTCGATGATGAAGATAAGGGCGAGGCCATTGATGCGGGGACTGTGGCTGGTGGGGGCCATGCCTCACGAGAATCGCACATCACCAAAGACCAGCTCCGTGTGAGCAAAGGACTGCAGCACTATATTATCGAGAATAACATCCTGCACAAGCCAGAGTCCGGCTCAGAAGCAGAATGGGTTTCAGCGTTACGGGAGATGCTCAGCAGGAACCATGTCAACATTCCCCGGGAACTTCTCGACAGAAACCATCCACTTCCCGAATACTTCATCAGTTCATCGCACAACACGTACCTAATGGCTCACCAACTCTATGGCGAATCGCATGCCCAGGCATATGAGATTGCCCTTCGCACTGGATCGCGTTGCGTTGAGATTGATGCTTGGGACAACGATGAAAATGCCGACGAGCCCAAAGTCACTCATGGCTACACACTCGTCTCTCACATACCCTTCCGTGAGGTATGTGAAACAATCCGGGATGTTGTTGACAAGGAAGCTGGAAATGAGGTGGATGCTGCGCCCATTATTATCTCCTTGGAGAACCATTGTGGCGCGCACGGTCAGCTTCGCCTGGTACAAATCTTCCAAGAGGTTCTTGGCCACCGGCTCCTTAGTCAAGAGGTGCGCGACAAAGGTACACGCGAACAAAACGATCCCTCAAAGCATGAACATGTCACCCTTGCTGAGTTGGGAAACAAAGTGGCAGTCATTGTTGAGTACCACTTACCCGACGAACCGGAGACCAGCAGTAGCAGCTCTTCCAGTTCCGACGATGAAGAGCAAAAGCAAGCTCATCAGGCATATGTGGAACAAAAAAAGACCGCCCAGACTGGAACTATCATTCCTGAGCTTGCAAACCTGGGCGTGTACGCACAGTCTGTCAAGCCTGTTAATAACTCATGGTTCGAAGGCGATCTTGAGAACGCGCCACACCACCAGCTCATCAACGTCTCTGAATCTGGTCTCAAGAGTCATCTCCCAGCCAATAATGCAAAGATTTCTCGCCATAACGCCCACCATTTGATGCGTGTCTACCCCAAGGGAACCAGAATCTCCTCCAAGAACTTAGCTCCCGTTCCTTTTTGGAGCATCGGCGCACAGATATGCGCGCTAAACTGGCAAACCTTTGGAGCGAGCTCGCAGATTAATGAAGCGCTCTTCACTGGCTCCAGCGGATACGTCCTTAAGCCTGCGGCCCTACGCGCGGGTGGCTCTGGAAACCTTGGCACTGGAAGGCGGAAGCAGCTCCGACTACACGTCGCGGGTGCGACGGACATTCCTCTGCCCAAAACACGCGACCCCAACGAAATCAAGCCTTACCTAACATGCACGCTTGTACACCCCAACGACCTGAACAACATGCCTCCAAAGCGCAAGACCGCCGTCTACAAACCCCATAAGCTTACTGGGTTTATGCACAAAGACAATCCGCCTGCCACTGAACCCCTGTGGAGAGAAGTACTTGAATGGGAGTACGAGGATAACGAGTTGATCTTCTTGCGTATGTTGATCAAGAGCGATGACAGTTTCTCCAAGAACCCGCTTTTTGCAGTTGCGGCTGTGAGACTAATGTACGTTGTGCCGGGATGGGTTTTTGTGCGCATGTTTGATCTGGCTGGACACGAAACGGAGTGTACAATACTCGTCAAGTTTGAGTTTCTAGACATTTAGGAGAATTCAACTTGAAGTATTGGGGTAGGAATAGCCTGGGCGGCTACTCGAGAGGCTTGTTGTATGGGTTTCCCTTGAGTAAATGGAGCGTTGTTGGGCAAGTGCAGTTTCTGAAGGGGCTGCAGACTTCGTAGTACCTCTATCGACCTATTTCTTCGGTGCTATAGGTCCGCCTACTACTTGTGCAGTGTTTTAGGGTATCAGTTGTCAAGAGTGACTATTGGGGATGTTACGCACCCCTTGATGATGCGCAAGTCAAAGTCCCATATCCATGATCAACATCACCTCCAAAAAGCCGTTAGCCACCATGGATTTGCATCCTCCTCTCTAATTCCCCACACTCTTCTCCAAAATAAAATAGCACACATATACCCCTACTCCAAAACGCACACTCCACCACTTTCAGCCTGACAAGCGGAGCATTTCTCCCTCCCTCTCCCCCCACTTTTCCATTACATCCACAGCGCGCCTCTAACCGTTGATCTCCACCGCATTCGCCCCCCTACGCAAGGCCCCCAGCCAAAAACGTCAATACTTCCGACGCAACAACTTCCCACCCATACACACACGACGCATCTGCATCCTTCAATGCCGGCAGTCTTGTAGGTATACGCATCCCTACGTCATCTATGCATCACTCTTGCACAGCACACCTGCGTGTCCGCACTCCTTCTCGCACCACGCAACCCTTTTCTGTTGTCATGGCCACCTAGCCCCGTAGTCGCCTGCGATACGCAAGGTGCGCGCAGCGTAGCGCGATTGAAGCGGGAGACGGGCCGTGGGGTGTAGGCGAGGCGAGGTGCGGTGGGTGGGGCGAACTAGGGAGGCAAGCACATCGCCCCGTGGCGTGGATGTGTGTGCCTAGTTTCCCTCCCAGTCCCAGCCTCTTGCGAGATACTGGGTGTTCCTCGTTGGAGGGAAGGAAAAAAGAAAGGGGGGGAGCATGGATGCGAGGTTCTTTGCCTTTCTTTTTCGGAGGATTAATAGCGCGAGAGCGAATGGGCTGGGAGCGAACGGGCTGCGGGTGCTAAAGGTTATGCGCCGAGTAGGTGCATGTGTAGACGAGGATTGGCCTGCATCGGATATGCGAGTTCAGATGCACGGCGATTCATTAGCTCTGCGGATTGTGGTGATGGGGAAACGGCGTGCTGGTCCCCCTTGTTATCTACACGGAAGCGAATAGTAGCGTGCGGGGGATTGGAGGTGAATTTGACTGGGTCGAAGGAACGCGTAGCATTGGCGCAGTGCTATATTGTTTGTGCAGAGATGTGAAGTTGGTGCGTCAAGGTTAATTAGTTGGGTTAAGAATGGAAACGTAGACTTGCGAAGGAGGCTATGTAGAGTAGGATGCAGCTGTGTGGCAAAAGTATTTCGCCTATCATGTTGACATGAGAGTTGTGGAAAATGATCTTTGAGTAATCATAATATGCAATATCTGGTAGTAGTGCATTATCAGAAGAGGAAAAAAACGCGTCATTACAGCTCAAGTGTGCGGAGCTATCAAACTTTGTCACCACTATGCAGTGGGTCCTTTGTCCGCTCGCGTATCTCTAGCGCAGGCGCAAGCCCGTCTCTTTCTAGAATGTGATTCGGAATCACGGCTCCCTCCTCAGTCTTGTCGTAATTCGTGTCCGTCATGTGGTATATGCCTAGATAATAGAAGCTTGCAATGCCCACGACATAGAAAAGCAATATGCCTCCTGCCTCGGCAATAAAAGGAATCTTGATACTGTCCAGGCCAAAGCAGATCGCTTCACCGGCGCCGAGTACGCCACGGAAGATGCCTACGTAGTGTGTAAGTTTCTGGGGTGAGTTGGTTAATGCGCCGATCCAGTAGTATACTATGTTGTGCCAGAGCTGAGAAAAGACCCAGTTGAGCATGAAGAGGACAAAGACCCAACCAAAGCTAGGGTCTTCCCAATCTGTGGCGTGGGTTGGAGGATGGTTGCGGTCGTAATTGCGAGTGCGGACCTAGCAGGTGTTAATAGGTTGTATTCAAATGTAGAATAGATGATGTACCATTTCCCATACCCACGCAATGACAAGAGGTACACAAACACCAGTCAGCCCAATCAGTCCTCGTTTGCGTCGGCCCCAGCCAGGGTAGTCTAGAACCCACTGTAGGGCCCATCCTGCGGGAATTTGCAGAACGACAGCAATGAATGACAAGAGGGATCGAGTGCGAAGGTTGTTGTTGAACGCTGGAAGTATATAAGCAGCATGTAAAATGGCTGTGCAGCAGATACTTACCATTCACCGACCCGCTGTACACGAGAAAACCCTCCGAAGGAAGAAAGGCGGGGAGCATCAAGACCAGGATTGGGTCCGTGAACGCGAGCAGGTTTGCTTTCAGCTCATCCCAAGCACCTCTTGGGCGGTCAACGGCTACAACTGACCCGTCGTCTCTTGTGAGCCTATGCGGTCGAAGCAAGAACAAGCAAAGCAAACCGCCGACGACCATGATGATTATGAATGAAATATATACCGACCGAGGAACGCCCGCAACAGTCTCAGAGTTTCGGTTTATGATCACAGGAATGATACCGCTGATGACAGAGCCCAGAGCTTGCATGTTCATCAAAATGGTTGCATAGGATCCTTTCTCGCTCTCTTCCGGATACCCAGTCGCAACATATCCGGCAGTGATGAATACCATTCCCGCGCCAATTCCAATAATGGGGCCAGCAGCATAAGGATAGCCTGTCTTGCCCGTCTCATCGTAGTACCACAGCGACCCGACGTAGACAGCGTATGTTTGAACACCGATGCACATGGTAAGGCCAGGCCCGAGTTTATTCAAGATGGAGCCGCCGAACGAAGAGGAGAAGAACCATACTATCTCTGTTATCAACGGCCTGAGATGCAAAACCCCAGCCCTGTTTTACCTGCACACAGTGTTGCGTTGACAACCTGAACAACTTGGGCTGAGTCGGGCCTTCCGCCCCCAGCACCCAGTAGATTCAGAGCAACGTAAATGCCAGCGGAAGAGCCAACTCCCAGGCCAGCAATCAACATTTGAACCCACGGTCCATGGTAGCGGAATCGTGGCAGGTTCAGAAGCCCCATGCCGTTTGACGCTTTTGAGAAACAAAAAGATTAGAACAAATACTGCGACACACGAGTAAACCGGAATTAGACTGAACAACTTCAGTCCGAGGAAAATCGTCGCAGTGGTAAGAGGAACAAAAAGAACAGTTTAGTGTGGGAAACATTAGCTTTAAGCCACAAATCTTCATGGATTCGCACACCATCCATGATTCCAAAGGTCCAGGGTGCCTTGATGTAGCGTCATACAAAGCGACAGGAACCCACGCGTCTCAACACGGGAGCGGAAACAAGGGTTCACAGCGGGTCGAGGCGTTGGCCGATAAACAAGAGTCAAGGGAAATAAGTGACTAGGGTTGCATTATGTGGCTGTTAGGGTGGTCGATGATCCACCCGCTGCCATTCGGTGGGCAAAAACGCCACTAGGGTCTAGATGGGGGATCGTGGCTAGCGCAAATGCAAAAACCTGTCCGGCACCGAACCACACACTGGGGTGATAACGGCGCGTCTAAAGTTCAAAAGACAGGTCCCTGTGTCAAACCCAGCTGACTCGCCAGGCGCGCATGTCAGGTCCGTCTACCAGCGATTGGCGGCAAGATCCGGCAATATGGACATGAAAAGTTGGAGGCTATTGGAGACGCCTGGACCTGCACTGGCTGAGCACGTTGTGCTGAAACATAGTTTAGTAAGTTTCAGAGAGAACAGTGGCGGGTTGAATCCAAACACCAACGGCATTTTTAAGCAGAAGATTGCCGCGAAGATTGTTCTGCCATTCGTTTCCCTAATCCCACACCTGGCGACAACTGACATTGATGCGCTTGGTGCTCATGTAGCCCTTCCATTTCTTGTAGGCTTTCTCTTCCGCTGGCGTAGCTCCAGGAGTGCCGACTGGCCAACTGGCAAGATGAGGCGGACATGTGCTTGGTATACAGCGAGCCATTGCATGCCAAGCCCATCGTGCATCGCCTGTTAGATGCACGACGTCGCCGCTATGGACGCGAATAGCGACGCTCCTCGGAGCATTTTCTCCTTGGCCATCATCCTCGCCCTTGGCCATAATAAAAATGCCGTCGCAACCCACACTGAAGCTCGCGAGCGCACGTTGGCATTGTTCGCTTACGTCGCGATGTACGGGCATGAAATCCTTAGCCGAGTACATTAGTACCACACCAGACTCCGGCCTTATGTGAGGGAAAAGGCCAGTGACTAGCCTTGCCAAATCTTCAGGAAATGGAGTGGCATGTTTTGCGTAGCTGCGAGTCGGCCAGTCGTACTGCTCACCGAGTGTGAGCCATCGAAGTTTCGAGTAAAGAAACTGTTCGTTGTTTAACGGCTTATGTTTGTCATGCGACTTCGGTATAAGGCAGTCGATCTCAGCTGCCCGGTCGCGAAGAAAAAAGTTGCTGTCAAATCGCGAGGGCTCAGACGTGGACTTGGGTGGATAAGGGATATTGAAATCGGCTTGGAGGTTGATCTTGTGTCCAGGGTCCGCCAGATCCCTGTGCATCAAGCATGATGTAAACAAAACCTGCGTCTCGGGAGGAAGTAGTTGTGAGATGACTTGGAGACCGGGGAAATCACGATGTTCAAAGATTTGCGCATCTTGTACTGGTGTTGATAATGGTTTACCGCCAGCGTAGGCCATGCAAGCAGCTTCAATCTGAGCTGCTGGAATGACACCTGCAGGACGCCAGATGTCTTTCCAATCTTCGCTGAATTCATTACGTTTGCTTAGGTCAAATATGTCTGGATTGTTCTCCAAGTCGGCTTTACGCATGCTCTGGTAGCGCCAGTGCTCCTTTTGGATGAACTGTGGTGGGGTGGCGTGCGTGTCATGATGCACAGAACCCTTCTATATTCCCTGTCAGCCAGACCCATTCAAACTCATATGAGAGACATACGAACGCGTTGGGTGGCATCCGTTGTCAAGTCCATGGTGAGAGCGCAGCGACAAAAGCGTTGCGGGGCAGGATGCGTTGGCGCGTGGAACAGGAACTGCCTCGGAAGCGAGACAGGCAGTCGCCTCAGGTTTTGCATCAACTAGAGACTGAGTATAGGATGCAGGGCAATGGTTCAATCAAAGAAGTTATTTCGTCACTGCCATGCAAGGAGAAAAAGGAAAAGGCTTCATGGCAAGCCACCTTGTGGGTGCGCTTATCGATAAGCGCCACATTTTGCATTTGGCGCTAGCAATACACGTGTATCCATTTACTTTTATTTCTATACTAGTGCACGAAATTGTAAGTAGCATTTTTTGGAAGCAGGGCCATAAAATCACAATAGAGGTCCATTTTAGGTTATTCAAGAAACTACCTCCACCTTACTATACGTTTACCCTGGAAACATCTATCGTGACAATTCAAAACCCAATACACCTACACATCTACTGCAAGTTCCTAGACGACCTGTCTAGCTTGATGTAGGCATACTGGCTTTGCCCCAGTGGTATCGAAAACACCGCCCACCACTTCGCTGTCCACCATGCGCCATACAACGCCCCAATCTGTTTCCTCCTATTGTACAAACTCATCGCTTGAGTCCGGCCATTCTGGGCTACGATTCTCAAATTATCTCGATTTCAGGATGCCCGTTGACCCGCTAGATCGCTTGGATCGTTGGGATGTGCAGAGTTCCAGCTCACATCGAAGCTGAGGAAGGCAGTTCTCATGCCGTTGTAGCTGTTGCAGAAGGAGTCCCAGATGACGAGTATGTTCCAGTACGCAAAGATCATGCCGAACTATTTGACATACATGAGCTGCTCGTCGCCAGCTTGCAGAGTATCAAATACGTTAACGTTGGCAGCTGTTTTATGACCAGCCAAGGTGCCCTTCATTCGGTTTGGCCGGGCCAAGAACACAGAAAGACGGTTAGGTCTGTTCTTTGTATCTAACTCCCGCATTAGCAGCTGTAGAACACTGCCACCTGCGCTGTTATATGGGGTTCTATTGTTGATAATGTTCCTCTTCACCTATTTACAATCATGTCGCCCGGGATTCAGATAGTTTCCGGGGTGGTTTTCGAAGAACATTGAAATAGACTGGGCTTTGTATGGGTGCTCAGCTAAAATCACTGTTAGCGCATCATTCCCGCTTTCATGTAGTACTTTGTATCTTACTTTGATAAAATTCTTTACGCATGCCTACAACTTAACCGCCTCTGATGGTAGAATCGTACTGCATATCTATTGATTCGTGTCGCTGAACTGCCCAGTTCGTGCACGATGCACTTGAGTTATGGAGGTACTTCATAACCTGAGGTTCATACAGGTCAAAGTCGACTACTGAGTTCGGATATTGATTTAAGTTTGGGAATGCAGGATATGAGATCGTCTTCGCTTGACCACATATACTGCACGTCTTATGAGACTGATTAGGTACCGGGCCGGCGCGTTTTTCGAGTCGATGTAGGCTTCCTTCTGTGGCGTTGAGCATCCCCTCTACAGTGGGATCGCGCTTCGAGAGAGGTGTTCTGAGGATTGAGCTAATGTCTGAGTTATCGCCGTACGGACCAAGCGGTCCTTCGTCTCGCCCTCTCGGTCCTAGTCCATACTTGCAGCCCAGACAAACGCAACCGTAACATGGTTCCCTGAATGGATTCTGGAGTGTGCAGCTCGCACAATTGTCACAAAGCAGTACAGGAAACATTTGATTGAACGAATTGTCGCCGAGATTGTAGCCTGGCATGGGAATATCACCCCAATCAGGCCTTCCGTCCTCGAACCCATCTCGCTTGGTCAGATTCTGAGCGATTTCCAGGTTCCGCTTCTTGATTGGTTGGCCACTGTCCTTGAAACATTGCTTCGTACCGGCTGCGGCCAGGTTGTCCACGTATAACTTGTCGAATGTAGAAGTACTCTAAGCAGTGGAGCCTTTCTTCAAGTGACTCCTCATCTTGGTACCAAGACTTGTAGAAACACAACTTTGTGTACCTGTGTGCTCAAGATTCCATCGTGAGAAGACTCGCTGAGAAACAGACATGTCTGGTAGATCGCCAACAACTTTTTCGTAAGGCTTCGAGAACGACACACCCACTATAAGCCCTACTCTTACTGTCGTGCCAACCTCGATCCACCCTTTAGATTTCGAGAGTGCGTTAAGCTTGTTGTTGCTATTCTTGCTGACTTCATCTCCGACTCCACTGCCTTCTCCAGTGCCCGTAGATGGAGTGATGGTTGCTCCCGAAGGGAAATGAACGTTGTACAGCCCCCAGTTGCTCTGAATGCGCGATTCCGGGTAGCCGCTGAAAGGTACAGCGCCAACGACATTATCTCCGCTTGCTAGATCAATGCTGGCCTCCTTGTATGCTATAAAGAAGGCCAAACCTATGTAGAGCGACTGGCCAGCTACTCCCGTTTCGCCAAACTTCTTTGTGATTTTCGAGCCCATAAGAGACTTGGAGGTATCGAGAATATCTTTCCCACCCAGCCTAAACGAAACGTCTGTTTTCCCCTAAGGGCGAACAAAGCCTGCTGCTTGATGTACGTTGAAATTAGCACTGGGTATCCAGGTCGCGATCATTGAGAACCCGTAGCGTAGCTCAATGCTGGAAGACCCTTGCATGGCAATGCCCAGAGATTCTCCAAGTTTTCCTTCCTCATCGATGGGCTTGTCAATGTAATTTCATATCTGCCCATTGTGGTAGACAGGCCTATCCAGCTTTTCCGTAATCTTGATAGAGTTTCCTGAATAGAAACCCAACTTATTGAACCGGTTGTACCAAGCTTCCTTGTTACCGTAATCAAAAAATCTATCAACAAGGGATTTCAGGTCGCGATTCTGGCTGCCTTCAGGAGTGTCCACCATGGCGTACCAGTACCCTGGCACATTGGAGTAGTCAAGGCGTATGCTGAACCTTCCAGCGTCTCGCCGAACTAGGCCGATGTTGTAATCGAATTTGAAATCGTAAACGATGGAAGTTGGACTGCGTCGGGCAACCTTTTCGGGAAGAGATTGGTCCAGGGATGGGGTGAGAGAGATTGTTCGGGACCAAGAAGGTCCTCTACATTCATCGGGCCTACAAGAGGGAGTAAAAGCTCAGCTTGATTCAGGTGATAGTGTTATGAAGGACCACTTACATATGGACAATGGTTCCTTCCACGCCGTTCTCTTCAACGCGGAAACAGTCGGTTACGTTTTGGTGCATACATACGATACGTGCCGTTTGTATCTCATGGTTCGGTCTCTTCAGTACATCATGCGGGCAGTCGATGAATTCTAGTCCCAGATTGTCGCGTTTCGGCATGGACGACACAGTGCTGCTATGACCAGCAATGAGGAAGAATGCTATGCCAGTTTTGTCTGGATCTTGCTCCTGAGTCAATCCATGGAAGGCGCCAAAGCTTACGAGATCGTAATTCGGGATCGCATCCGCCGGAGGAAAGTACTCTTCTGGGAAAAGATTCTCGAGATTGAAAGGCGCAAAAGGCCTGTCAAAGCCACCGATGGGCTCACAGCAGAATGGCTATCACAATGAAACATAGATTTAAGTATTTCGTTCATTTCAAACCCACGTAGTTGATAACTTACCTGTTCACGCCCGTTGTGGCATGAGCTACTTCGTGGATCCGGTCCACGCGGATCGAGGCCCAGGGTTATCTTCCCAAGGGTGCAAGTGCTAGAGCAGACTTTAGACGATTTCCAGTTACAGTTGCCGAAAGAGTTTGCGCGGGGACAACAAAGCTTCCGAATTCCGGCACCTTCGCCACTAAAAGGATCTCTTGCACCCTCCCATCCACATCGCTTGTTTGCCTTGGGGCCATCAGTATCGATAGTTAGCTGGAAAGGTTTGTCTAATGGGCACTTTTTGTCGCGTTCAGTCCAGGTATAGATCTTCAGATAGCGCTCCATGTTACCCGCTTTGCAGCAGAAGCTCTTCCAGCCTCGACCGTACTGCCAGTCATATGATCCATCTATGAGATCTCCCTTCCAACCGAAGCTGCCATTGATTACATTGATATCTCCCACGCTGCACTTGGCGGAAGAATCTTTCTTGGCCGCTTTGGAGTGGCTGTTATCCCACCGACAATCGTTCTCTTGCGGTCCGGCAAATGAGGAGCAGCCTCTTTGGAGTTTCCAGTGTTGCATCTGTTCTTCCTATTGATCTCTGTGCTGACACGATCCACTACTGTATAACCGGTCTCACATTTTGGCTTTGCGCCCTTTGAGCCACGTTCTGTGATTTTGCATTTCGTGCCGTCAGCTGTACCGTGTACAATTGATGGTCCGTTGTCGGTCATGAACTCGAGCAGATCCTCTCCTTCTTTAAGTTCACCCCCTGTCAACGCTCGGATGAGGTCACCCTTCTCGTCGTCGATGTCGATCGCCTAAGTCATGAGTCCTTTTAGGCCGCGTTTGTTTGCGAAGTCGACCTTCATTTGTATTGTGGCAGGGTCGTCATGCGATATCCAGCTATTTTGTCCATACGTGAGGTGCTGCACAGCCGCCTCCTTATACAACTTGGGCTTTGCTTTGGTCTTAGCCAGGATGCCTTTTACTTCTTTATACAAAAAGAACCCCTCTGTGGCAGTACATTCGCCCTTCTCCCTAGGCCTACTGAACTTGCATCTTGGAGTCTAGCACTTTGGATTCTCGAGACAAAAGCTTCTACTATAGAAAACCGTACTGAGAATAATCTTGGAAAGTGAAACGTCATTCCTCCAAAGCAAGTCGAGTGCAAGGTCAATCTCAGTCAAATTGGTATGGCCGAGTATCTGATTGCCGATTGGGTTGTCGCTATCCCATACTCTACGTTTCATTAGTTTTGGTGGTATTGGTAGAATGTCGTGATGATACGTACCCATGGAGATGATACGACATGAGGTTAATCCAGTCGGCGATCTCTGCGCTTCTCTTAATGTCGAAATGGCGCAGGTACCAGTAAGAGGTTGGCGCAGTGAATGTTAGGATGTATCGGGATCCCATGGCATCCTTCATCTCTTTCATCAACTTGTTCAGATTGTCGCCGTCCTCAGGAATACCACCTCGATCTGGTGCACCGGGACTGCAAAGGAAGGTGTGTAGTCAGCATATGCTCCTTCTTTAGAAATATTGGCACATACTACTCCCAGTCCAAACCGACACCGTTAAAGCCATACTCGGCCATGAATCCAATGAGATTAGAGATGAAAGTTTTGCGATTTACTGCGCTAGCAGCCATGTCCGAGAAAACCTTTTGGTATTTACTTGTTGGTTGGCGATGGATGAAGTTATACTGATCTCATGGAAAGATGAACATACCAGGATCGTTTTGAGTCCAACCCTGGTTTCTATCAGTCAAGAAAACAGTTTCAGGATAGTCGACGCTTACACCAAGAGCAATGAGGGCCTTGAGCGACGGCTTCTTCATGTTGAGGTCTGTCACTCTACCGAATAGAAAGGGCTGGAAATCCGACATTGGCTCAATCTTGAAGGTTCCAGACGCTGTGAAGCCAAAGGAGAAGATCAAGTGAGTGAGGCTGTGTACCGGTATTTCTTGTGGTGTCATGGTACCACACTTCTTGTTCATGTTCCATCCTTCATAGTATCCAATAACGACCTACCTAGAGTTGCTGCTTCCAACGTTGGGTTTAGGCTGCTTGCACATGCTCTGACAACCATTGCCGCAGAAATCTGATGTTGTCCCGCAGAAACCATGTTCTCTGGAAAAACATCGGCTAGTGTAGTTTCGAGTCCAGGAGAGACTTACGAGCAGCAAACGTTCAACAGACATGTTTGGCCCGGCTTTTTGGCGTACTGCTCAACTCGAATGGTCTGCCCTACAACGCGACCCTTTCCCCCAAGTAAGGCGAAATATGCATCTCCAACAAGTGCAAGACTAACATCTTGGCTGAGGGTGATACATGGGGCTCAATAGCGAGGAAGGCTGGTATCTCACCCGTTCAGTTCAAAGCCTGGAATGCAAACGTCAACCAACTCTACAGGTAAGTATTCCAAGTTGATATCAGAAGCTATGTACTGACTTCTTCCCTCAGTAACTTGGGACGCTTCATTGGCGATACCTTTTGCATCAGTAACCCTTATGGAGACTTTTCAATTCCTGATCAGCCAATCGTAACGGCTGTCCCAACGCCTGTGTAAGTGAAGACTCGACTTTAGTAAACCTCAAAGCCTTACTAATTCTGCAACTAGACCTGCGCCATCGGACATTGCGCCCAACATCACATCGCGATGTGGTCAGTTCTACAGAGTCGGCGCTGGCGACGATTGCTCAACGGTGACGTTGAAATTCAACATACTACTCAAAGACTTGTAGGTAGTTCCGGCCTCGCACGCGCATATCACTGACTCGAGCAGCTACTTTTTCAATCCTTTCATCAATGTCAGCTGTTCCAATCTCTGGCTTAATGCGTCTTATTGTGTACAACCGGTCGGAGATATAACCACATACCCTGGATACGGCGGCTCGACAACGGTCACGCTACCGCCTTTCACTGCAGGCCCGAAAACATCGCTACCGCCTAATCCGGACCCAGTTGATGCTCCGGAGCAAACAATCATTCCAATGGCGAACGATACTCGCATAGATTGTTATACGTAAGCGAGGCGATCAAATCATCGATTAATTTTGAAGCTTACGAATGGTAGCTACATGTGGCTCAACGACACTTCGGCGGAGTCGATAGATTGCTGGGGTATTGCAGACGCTGTTGAATTGAACGCGAGGAGTTTGCACTCTGGAACCCCTCACTCGATCAGAACCCGATGAATTCCGATAATGCGACTTACAACTATCCTTGCTCGGCCCAATTCAGTGTGTCGTACTGCACCGGAATCGCACCTCCAACTCCTATTTGGCAATGTCAGTAATCTTCCGCATGTGGGGCCAATTTTAGGGTAATTTCATTAGAAAACCCCGTCGTGATCAAACCACCAACCTCTCGAGCATCTGGAGAGATAGAAGGATGTATATACTGGCAAGAAGTCTTCGAAGGAGATACTTACGTAGGATATATACCCGGCTCGCTGAGTGTAGCCGACTTCTTCAAAATGAAACCGTCTATGGGAAAAGACTGTACTGGTCTGAACCTGGGCACCATGTATTGCCTCTCCACACTGAAGATTGGCATATTCGCTCCATCCGAGAATGACGTCTCTCCAAGTCCGACTTCGACGAAAGCACCGTTCGGTAGCGGCACGCCGACGCCAATCCAAGTAGGTCATCGCGTTCGAAAATCAATAAGTCTTCTGGCTAACAATGTCACAGAATGGCATAGCCGCTGGCTGCACCAAATTCTACAAGGTGATTTCAGGAGACGGCTGCTGGGCCATCTCCAACGCAAACTCGATTGCACTGACGGATTTCTACGCCTGGAATCCCGCAGTAGGATCCGACTGCCAAAACTTGTAGCCAGATTACTACGTGTATGTGGGACGGGCCCCAGTCACGTCGTCAGGTCCGGTAACCAAGACATCGACAGGACTACCGCTGTGTTCGTGGAATGCATCAAAAGGCCAGTACGATTGCCCGGGCACGCCCACGCCAACTTCAACGAGTTTGCGCCCGCCTCCACCGGGTCCAACGCAAGCGGGTATACCTTCCAACTGCAACAAGTGGGTGTTGCAGAAAACGGGCATTTATTGTTACGACATGGCGGCTGCGGCAGGCATCTCGTTGGATCATCTCTACTAATCGAACCCAGCTTTGAATGGCGATTGCAGTGGTCTTTGGCAGAATTACGCGTATTGTATTGTTGTAGCGTAAAGTCGTGGTAATTGATATTGAACAAGTAGAAACGATGTAGCGTGGTGGAGAGTAATACATGAACTTTGTCTTCGACCACTCCTGATACCTGACATGTATATAGAGGTGTAGCTTCGAGTGACGGTTTATTCCTCCTCGCGGAAACGCAGCTGCCTCTCACAAACCTCAAAGACATCTTCCCACTTGGCGCCAATATCGACCTCATCACTATCCCCAATCTTGATTCCCATCTTCAAAGCTGCACCTTTGACGTCTTCCATAACCTTAGCGGCATCCTTGTAGTGGCCTTTTTCAGCGTTGGCGATAATGTTGCCCAGGCGTGCATCTTCAATTTCATCAGGCATCTCATCTTGCGACGCGGATGCATCTGCGAGGACGTTGTTGACGAGGTATTTGACAAAAATAGCCCAGTAGTACCTGCGATCCACGTCTAGTTAGAATTGAACTTGTCAAGCGGATCGGCGGTACTTGCAAGTCTTCTTTCACGCTCCCATGCTCCTCGTCTCCTTCGTAAATAGCATCACTCACAGTACCATGTATGATCCACTCGCCCTCGCTAAACGGCCACGGCGCATACCCTTCTTCACTGACCCTACAATCAAACTCTTCCAGCTCGATCGGGTTCAGGTAAGCAGGATCCTGCAGGCGTTCCCTCGCACTAGCAATGCGATCTCGTCTGTTCTCCTCCTCAATCTGCGGCGCCAAGGCAGCAAGGAAACCCGTGATTGCGAGCGAGAAATCAGACCGGAGCCACACGAGCTCCGAGCAAAAGTTCCGAATGCAAACGGATCACGAGTGGGCGAATTGCAACGCTGAAAGTACCTGCAAAGCCCATCGATAGTACAGACTCAGTAGCAATCGATCGTTTTGTGACGGGTTTTGTGGAAGAGGTACAGTCAGTGCTGGAAGCGCGTTCCACTCAATGGGCCCAGGCTCGAGTCTCTCGACAATGACGCCAATGTCGCTTTCCAGCGGCCCGAGATAGCTAGCTTGGTGAGATGTAAAGCATTAAGATCTGCCGAGACAAACAACGTACCGGACGATTCTGGGGTGTCCCTTTCCAAGAAGCTCATACGCTCCTCTTAAGCGTTTGCGCGCCCAACCGGGCCTTGCTCGTGAGTCCGGCACAAAGTCGTCTGGCGCCTCTAGAATAAGCATGGCCTTGCCGTCCTTGTGGGGGAGGCAGAATAAGGTTTCGAAGAAATGAGAGTACCAATCTTGTACGTCCTCGGGGGCTTTGCTTGCTTCTTCGGGGAAATCTTCTTCTGGAAAGGAAAGTATGTAGCTTTTGGCTGGACGGGGTGAAGGGGCTTCGGATGAGAGGAATGCACCCATGTTGGCGATACCTCAGTCTTCAGGCAAGACCAATAATACGTTGATTTGTTGGTAGGGCGGGTTTCTGCTGTGTTTATTTGTTGTTGTGATCAAGTCGAATAGGGACCAGTAAGATGTACACTATTTGGGTGCCGCACTGTTAACTGCGGGTACCAAGTATATACGTAGAAAAGTCCGAAGAAAATGTATATTATTATCTGTAGCATCCTAGCTCATCTTAAATGAATGCCATTCCGCAGCATCATTAGTAATAAAGGTTTCCGATAGTGATTGGCTGAGTAGGCTGTGCCTTGCGTAGGGTAGAAGAAGCCGGTTATTGGGGACAAAACGGTATAGTACGTGACCTGTGCGTGCCTCCCGCTGTGTAACCGAAGGCCGGCATTCCTGATCCTGCACGAGTAGTTAATGTCCCAGTAGCATGAACGCCTTATCTAGGAATTTCAGATCTGAGCGTAGTCATGGCTAGCTTGATATGATGGTATAGAGAGGGGGGCTATAATTGTACAAATAGCTGACATTACTTCACAAGCTAGTGTCACTGCTGTAGTCCTCAAAGCCACTAAGAATGGATCGGTACCCAAAATGTGCAGAGCCGCTGAATAGCGCGAGCCAAAGTACTAATGACCTAATTAGGAGATTCATGAGCCTACTCTTTCTACAAATCAGAAAGTATGAGATGAGGCAAGGATAACAAGAGAGAAAGGGAGCGTCAATGGACGTATCGTCTCCAAGATCCTAATTCTCCAATTTTACATGTTCGCATCTACTAGCGTCCCTAATTCTTTTTCTTTGTACCCATATCAAACAATATAGATAACTACCAAACTACCAAAAACGCCACTAAGCCCTACATCAGCCCCGGACACGCGAGTATCGCGACAGTCCTGATGGCTAGCACTTGGATCACTATTATTCCCATGAAATCATAACACCAAGCAAAATGAACTAAATTATTCTTCGCACCCACATGCTTTATTCAATCTCATATTAGTTATACTGATCACAGAACAAAACAAGCCTGAGTAAAAACAATATTTAAATAAAACCCTTGTTTGATATGCCCTGATCACGCACATTTCCAAACACCATCTTACCATCTTCCTTCCCATTCTCTAAAAAACCGCAATAGCCCCCGGCGGACTCCCAATCCCACCCCTGACATGCAACGGCGCGCTCGTCAAGAAAAAACTGTACCTCCCTTCCTCCTTGCACTTCTCACTCAACTTCTCCAAATCCCACATTTCGCCAATCGCTGTACCCCAATGCACAAGCAACCACTCGTGCAAACACCATCCATCCGTGAGTTTGGACGGCCAAGCCTCAAACGCAACGTTGTCGGCAGCAATGGCGGCCAAGTGGCGGTCGTAGAGCCAGCGGACGGTGCGCTCCGAGGCTTGTAGGCCAATGGCGACGTTGTTGTCTTGGGTGCCGGATTTGCGCTCGGCTTCTGTTGCGTTACTGCTTTTGCATTAACCCCCCATTCATTTGCCCATCCATTCCCACTTTTTTTTTCCCTTTCAAGACTCGGAGTAAAAGGAAGAAGGAAAAGAGAGAACGTACTTGTGCCACCTCACATACCCCGTTCTAACCACCAACACATCCCCCTGCCTAACCTCGGTCCCCTGCCACCTCAACGCCTCCTCCACCTCCTCAACCGGAATCTCATGCCTCGTCACCGCGCTCGGCGCTTCCTTTCCCTTGGTCTCCTCATACCACCTCAACCAATCACACAGCACGCCCCTGCCCACAATTCCGCCGCGCTCACACCACTTATGCGTGCCATTCCTATCGCTCTTCGCCGCCTCAGCGTGCGTTAACCCATTGTAATACGTACCTGTCGCTTGATGTGCAAAGTGCTTCAAAGAATCCCATTGAGAGCCTGCCTGTGTGTTGATGTGGAGTTCGTCATCGTTTGCGCAGAGGGCGGAGAAGGAGGCGAAGTCGATTTGTTTTTGGGCAAAGGGCTTGCGGTTGAAGCCCGGGAATTGGACGTTGTGGAGTTCCCAGTCGAGTTGGATGGATTGGCCCGTACGGATTTCTTCGCGGGCGGCGCGGGTGACGACGGCGGGGGTGAGGAGGTTGATAGCTTTGGGTTGTTTAGTTTAGGAGTGTAAGTAGATTAGAAGGGGAAGGGTGGAAAAGAGGACTAACTTCCTACTTCATCCTTCTTCCCATCTTCATCGAAGAAACCCCAGAGATTACCTTGGGGCTAATACCCAATCCAAAAACCCAAAGTCAGTAATCATATCCTTTTCAAGCACCTAAACCCCAAAAAACTACACTCAATGTCAAAAAAGAGAATTTTTTTTACCATGCCCTCAACTTTCGGCGCCTCATCGAAAGCCGGGAACTTGTATTCTTTCGAAGCCATTATTTGTGACTCAATTCCACCAACTGTTCGTTCTCTCTCTTTCAATATATACTACATCAATACAGATTGGAAAAAAATGATAAATTATGTAATTTTCCACAACTTTCTTTTATATACATTATATACCCCACACCTAGGGAGCCGGGTGACATGTAACCCCGCTCCAAAACACTTTGACTGCTCCGTTGCGAAACTCGGTGTTAGGCCCCCCTCCCCCTCGTCGCCCCAGTTTTGAATGACGTGTAGCTCCATCAATTTCCCCGTACGGAAAGCGGAGCTTGCTAACGAAGGTGAGTAGGGGAATGATTTGCAACAGGTTGGGGTACTTGGCGGTGTTTGGTCGCTTCCGAAAGGCGAGGAGAGAGACCAACTATTTGGGGCCTAGCGCAGTCGTCGTCGTCCAGAACTGAGATACTCAATCCGTCTTGTCCGGTCAGGCGACATGATAAATCCCCATTTTTTTCTATTGGAACTTTTTGTCGGTCGTAAAAACCTTTTTGTAGTAAATGCAGAGAGGTTTTGTTTTGAGGCAAGCAGTCATACACGCCTGAGTATTAGCAGTCACACTAGTCTTCTCTTTTCAACACCTTGTTCCTTTAGCCAAAAATCACTGTGACTACAGAGAAATCCATACTCACAAATATAAATGACTTTGCAACTGCTGTATGAAAGACGGAAAAGTCAACCGATTTTTAAAGCATCATTGAATTAGCTATTACTACAGGAAAGGTATCGTAAACTATTCTTAAACCAATTTTGAATATACGGGTCCTTCCCCCATTCCTCCGCATTAGAGGCATACTACCACTCCTTCGTGCTTGCCGTCAACCAGAAACCGAAGAACATGCCATTCACTATTTATTACGCCGTAACGTAATCGTGGTATCATCCATGATCAAAACGCAAAAACAAAACACAATCATCGTTACGGGCGACCCCCAAGCATACCGGGTATCACTGTTTGAGAAGATGCATCTAAGCACGGCCCTGGAATACAGGGTTCTGGTCACCAAATGTGGTGTTGTACTGGTCAGGGGCGGCAGCGCCAGTTTGACCAGCCGTGGGTGGCATGGCAGCGGCATTGTTCAAGCCAGTAGAGCCAGTAGTGTTGAAAGCGTCGTCAACTTGGTTACCGAAGCCCGAGGTAGCACCGCTAGGAGCAGCGCCACCGCCAGTCAAGCCCTGGTTGCCTGTGGTAAGACCTGGTTGAGCAGCCACACCACCAGTCAATCCCTGGTTGCCCGTGGTAAGACCCGGCTGAGCACCAAGACCACCATTGTTGGTGTACTGGCTATCGTACTGGTTGGTTGATGGGTTGAGTCCCGACGAAGCACCGAGACCGCGGGAAGCATCACCGGAGGTGCCGTAGCCTTCCGCACGACCATGGGGCTTGCGAGTAATCTTTCCAACCTGAGGCAGGCTGGTAGTCTCCTTGGCAGATCCAATAGAGAAGATGGGGCTCTCCCACTTGTCGCCCTTGGCAGCAAGCTCCTTGTACTCGGTAGCCTTGGATGAGATGCCTCCAGGCAGGGAGATGTTTTTGAAGATGGAGTCGTGCTGAGTGACGGCCACATTGACCTTGGTGTCCTTGACCTTCTCCTGGAGAGACTCCTTCTTCTGCTTGCCTTGCATGAGGCGACGCTGGGCAGAGCTGGCATAGCGCTGGTAGATGTTCTGAATGTTTTGAGGGTCAGGGTTGTTCTTAGCCTCAGCCGCGGCACGGTCAGCCTCAGTCTTGATGTCAAAGAGGATGGCATCGAGCTGGTTAGCAGAGTCCTTAATCTGCTTCTCTAAGACCTTTTGAATGACAGGACGCATGACCTTGAGAAGGAGAGGCTTGAACATGTTGAAGAGGAGCTTATGGTTGCTCTTTTTCATCTTGATCTGGAGGTGCTTAATGTCCGACTCGACCTTGGTGACCTTGAAGAAGTGGGTCTGCGCATGCTCGCGCGCCTTGTCGGCAGTCTCCATCTCGACCTTGAAGCTGAAGCCGGAGCCACCCATGAAGATGTCCATAACACCCTTGTCGGTAATGGAAGGGAAGCCCTGCTTGCGCTTGATGTAGTACGAGACGTCCCTGAGGTCCATTTGGACACCCGAGACGGAGAGCATAACCTTGTTCTTGTTGGTGCTAGTAATGGACTTGCGGCCCCAGCGCCAGTAGTTGTCAGAGCCAAACTCCAGGGAGTTAGGTGCGAGGTTGTCGCCCTCAATGACAAGGTTCTCAATAACGGCGTCCACCATGGGGTCGCTGTACTCGATGCGGGGAACGGGAATGTAGCGGACATTCTCAAAGATGGCAGGAAGAATGACATCAGTCATGTCCTTGACAAGATGGGGCTTGAAGACAGTCTTGCCATTCTCGTCTTGACCAAGGTCACGGAAGAGCTTGTTGACAGACTCGGCGAACTGCCTATTCTGGGGGTCGGCATCAAACTGCTGGCCAATGAACTTGAACTCATCAGCAATGCGGTCAGTGTGGCCTCGGTAACGGTCACGGAAGAAGTGGTGGCCATCATCGTAGAGCTGGTTCCACTCAGCGTTGAACCTGTCCTCGAGGACGAAGCCCTGTTGCTGCAGGGTCTTGCGGATAAAGGCGTTGATACGCTTGAACCAGTTCTTGAGCTCGGGGTCGCGGTCAGCGTCCTTGTAGATCTGGTTGATGGACTCAATCAAGTCATCGAAAGACGTGTTGTTAGCGAAGCGTTCGAGGAGGGTCTTCATGTTGGTCAGCCATTGATTCTCTTGAGTGAAGCCTAGATACGCACCCTCAGGTCAGCTTCAGCAGTAGTTAGTGCATCGTCTTGATGCGCACCTTGCACAGAGCCCTTGCCCTGCTGGCTCAAAATCCTTCCGTGGCTCGAGTAGCGCTCGGCGAGGTCGAGAAGAGTCTCAATCGCACGCTGGTAGTCCTGGTGACCCTGGATCTCGACAATCATCTTCTTGAGGCGCCACCTAGTCTGCTCGCGACGTTCCTCTGGCATCTTGCCCTTGAGATAGTTGTTCAGCTGCTCACGGCGGGCGCGAACAATTTGCTTGTCTTCGTCAGAGGTGTTTGCGTCAACCTTTTGCTTAGCGGCATCGACACCACTGCGAACGTCAAGGCCAGTGCTCTGACCAGTCTGGCCCTCGGTGGCAGCAAGATCGGCAGTGTGCGTGGGGTCGCGGACTCCCTCGGGGTTGGCTGCTTGGTTGACATCCTTGGCTGTCTCCTTCAAGTCTCCCTTGTTCTTGTTGCCAAACGGCAGGCTGCTCTTAGCTTGGTTGCGGAAGTTCTCGCGGTTCAGGTTGGAGGTGTCGTGCCAGGTGTTGTCCTCGGCGGGCTCATCCAGCCTGTTGAGACGGTCTTCTGAGGGCTTAACCTTGTTGGCCGTGTTCATGGCCGCATCACCGGCCATGTCGCGGAGAAGAACAGTGGCATCAGAGAGAAGCTTCCTGAACTGGCCATTGGAGATGAGGAGCGTGCCAAGAGTGCGCAGACCTTCGAGAGCGTTGTTGCCGTCTTGCCTTGCTGTGTCCTTATCAACAGGGGCATTGGGGCGGTTGGTGCCGGCGGCGCTGACGTGCTCAGCCTGCCAGATGAAGTCTTGGAGGAGGTTGCCCTCGTTCTTGGTAAGTAGCAGAATCTTGGCCTGTTCGATGACGTTCTTCAGGTCTGTGACGAGACTCTGGCCCTCGGGCGACAGTTTCTTGGATGGTGAGTTGAGTGTTCGGTGTGCGAGTGCCGAGTTGAGAGCGACATCAATCTGGCTGTTGGATGGCACCTTGCCATTGGAGAAGGCTGTTGTGTTTAGTTAGAATTGCTACACCAAGGGCACGTGTGCATGCGATGACATACCTTCAACAATCCCATAGATCTGGAGCTTGTTGTTGACATCCTTCTCCTTTTGCTTCAAGTCCACTGGACCTGCGTTGTGTTAGTGTACACATATTTTGAGCTAGTAGTGGGGTGGGGTCATTGGACGTACGATTTACGGCACTCATGGTGTAGGTCGCACTGTGGGTATCAAGGGTATAGGTGGGGGAGGGGGGTATCAAAATTACAAACGCAGAAGCGGGTAAGGAAAACAATGGACAGTTGTGAGGCAGGTCGTTGCTGTCACAGGAGGGGTATGGGTATCTGAGAGTGGTATGAGTGTGTGAGGGAAATGAGGGCGGACTGCGGGCACAAAAGCAGCTTTGTATGTGAGTGGGACTGGGTAACACGAGGGGAGGGCAGCGACTACGTCACTCAGTCGTAGTTTCCCGCCTGGGGACGAAGTCTGGGCTTGGAACAGCAGCCGGCTACCTTTCTGGGCTGGTGAACCTGCTTGACCCCGCGACTGGCTTACCGCCCGCCTGCCCGCAATTCCAGGCCATGCTATGCTACGCTATGCTCCTCGACTGACGCTCGCGCGACTTGCCGCCACCCACCACCCATCCCCCTTGAAGCCATTGCATACCGTCTAGAACCACAATTGTGCGTGCGTTGGCAACAGACAGGAGGCCCGCCATGGCTGGTATGACGAACGTTTTGGTCTTTGTTTGGGGATGGATCGGCGCCAGATTTCCCAGACGATGCAATGTGGTGCGTGTGGGTTGCGTCATGGCACAAGAGCCTGTCAGCCACACTCTCCGATTCCGTGCGATGCGAGTGTGGCGCCACCCTTTGGGCCAGCGCTTCCTACGCGCCCCGCTGCACACGCACGCTGTCCTGCTTCTACACTTGCTATAAAGAACTGCATGAGTATGTGCATAGCATGGCATGAATTAGAGTCGTGTGCTTCACATGTACTCTCGAGCTGACATTACCATACGCACACGCGCTGCTGCTTGGTCGCAAGCCGTGTTGCGATGCGCCACATGTCTAAATACCAAGCTTTGCTTGGCATGCCGCCATTGCTAGCGTCTGCTGCTAGTGCGCCTTCTCGCCGCCCACACGGCTGAAAACGATGACGACGTCCGTCTTGCAATGGCAGCAACTTGTCTTTGTTCTCGCGTCGCGCTACCCCATCCGTCGCGACCACACTAATCTCATGTCCCAAACCTACATCATTGGCTTTTCTCTACCCCTTCTAGCCTCGCACGCTACACAGCTAACCAGTAGGCGTGCATACGAACACGTCAAGGGCGGATCAAAAGCACAAAACAGGGCATTTTGCCTGACCAGCCAAATCCCGGCAGTAGCGGCTCATGCTTTTAGACAGTAGATCTGCCCGCCCTGCGCCATCCTACACCCACTGCGCAGAGACTGATGTGCGTGCATGGATATCCAGGCCGATCAGCCGATGCACTAGGCTCCTTTGTCCCCGTCTGTGCCCGTCCAGCTCGCTCCTTCTCTACCATGCGTCACGGCTCCTTTGGTCGGTGCATCCTTTTGCAACTCACACATGCACACATGTGCATACATATATATCTACGCATCGTATTCGGCCTTTCCTCTTGTGTTTCTGAATGAGCCCGCCGCTCCATCTCTGATTTACGTGCAAACTGACTGCTTCTACCGGTACCAGCTCTCATCTCTTGTCTCAACAGCTCTTTCGCCCCGCGTGCGCCTGTTGTCGTTATGACTTCTATGCGACCTCTTTTTCTCCCATGTGTATCCGCCCGCTTCATCATCCTTCAGCGCGTCAGTCTCATATATCCTGGCCGACAGCTTGCGAATCGGCACTTCTGCTCGGAATGCTTGGCGCCGTGGTAAGGCATGTCGCCCACCTCGCATGTAGGTATCCTCTTCATTGTAGTCGTAGCGAGCACGCCCCATTGCTTCGGTATAAGGATCGTAAGTCCTGCTTTGGGGTACTGCAACATACTCGTTGGCATGGCGTATACTCTGTTTGTACGTATAGGGCTGTATTCTGTACGAAGGCTCCGGGGCCATGGATATCGGTTCGGCATAAGATTGCATTCGAGCTACCGGGCGAAAGTTGGATCTTGTGTTGGTCACAGGTGCATCATACCGTTCTGTGTACCAGGCTTCGTCTGCGTCTACCCAAGTCGGACCCGAGTGTGCTACACCGCCCCACTCCAGAGTTTGCCGGGGAATAGCGAACGCGGCCTCGTCGACAGTGTTTGAGTACTGAAGTGTACTGCTTGAATTTCCGAGTGGATGAAGTGGACGTTTTCGTCGTGGAACGCTGATGCCTCCGCCTCCAGTACCAGTTTCTTCCTTACCCATTGCCCTGCGATATAGCCATGAAATCATGTCACGAAGCTGATCGCCGTTATATCCAATGAGTAGACAAGCCCCCACCGTCACCACAGTCAGCGGTATGGCTACAATCCAGAAAAGGCCTTGCTTCTGGTTCATGTCACGAATATCCACAGTGTTCATGCCAAAATAGCTCGTTGCAAACGACAGCGGCAGAAAAATGACAGTCACCACCGTGAAAGCCATGATGGCCTTACCATGGTCTTCATCGTTGATCTCGAGACTTTGCTTTGTACGATTGGCGAGAGGACTGCAGCGTCGAATGAGGTCCTCGTAATCTTCCAGGACAAGATTGAGACTTTCAAGGCAACTTCGGAACAGACTCAGCTCGTCCACAAACATGCTTTGTCGGGATGGTGTTGGCTTCTGATATGACCCGTCGTAGAGAACACGGATGTAGTTCTTGATAAGAGTTACCTGCTGCATGGTTATCGACGTAAGGATCTGGAGTTCTTCTTGAAGAAGATTGAGGTCACGAAGGAGTCGTTTACTCGGGTGGTGGTTGACTTGGAATTGCTACAAAGTATTAGCTCAACAATATTCGCTTACATGAAGCTGACTGCTCGAAACGTTAGGGGCGTGCATGATGGAGGTACTTACGAGCCTCGATATGTACTCCCGGTACAAATCGCCCACAGTTTCACGCTTCTCAAGCGGCTTCAGTAACAATCCCCTCATTAGCTCGCCACATATATACTGAGGTCCCCGAGAAAGGTGCTCCATCACACGCCGTGGTTGGGGAGGAGAAGCCATTTCGCACAAACGTGCACGTGCAACTCTCAACGACCGCATTGCGCCTGCCTCAAATCTTTCCAAGACATCGAGGCCTCTGTCCGCATATGGTAGGATGCTACGCTCATACGCATCTTTGAATCGGTATTCATGTCCATGGGCCTTGTCGGCATCGTCCAAAGCTCGCTCAGTTGCCATGAAGAAGACAATGATGTGGCGAAATGCTTCAGAGAGCTCCTTGGGCAGAGTGTACAATTCAGACATCTGGCCATCTTCGTTTTGAACTCCGGCCATGAGTTGTTGAGCTTGCTCCATTATGTTCTTTGCCAGAGTGCATGCCTTTGTGAGTATTGCCAGTGCTCCAGCATTTGTCTGCTCATGCCAAAATTCTGTCGATGCCATGACCCAGTCCTTAGCTTGCGGATCCATAGCGACATCCTCGGCTGGAATTTGTTCACCTTGTAGGCCATCCGGCTCAGTAGCCTTCTGCCGCTTCCCAGACTCACTTTCGTGGTTGGTGTGGCGCTGCAGATGTCTAAGCGCATCTTCTTGGCTGCGAAACGAGTGTAACCTTTTACATGTCTTACACGCCGCGATTGACTTGGACAATTCTGGACGGCTTTCTGGAAAAGACAGTAGACTAGGCTTCGCCATGGGGCGGATCAGCCAAGAGTTGCCAGTCGTCTCAACATCGTCTTCTCGAGGAACCGCGTCTTTGCCACTTTCCCTACTCCTAGGTTTGTACTTTTCGAGTTTGGCAACGTGCTGCTGGATTTTGATCATAACGCCCCACAGCTTACTCATCACGCCGCTCTCATCCGTGTCACTAAGGAAAAGCTTGGTAATCATGCAAGAGAGATTGAAGAATTCTGTCGATCTGTTCACAATGCTAGTGCGCTGGCCGTTGATCATGTTCTCATGGAAGGTAGAACTGGGCACGCCTTTCTCGACTGCTTCGCATCGACGTTTGAGATTGGCAAAATCAGCACAAGCATCTGCGTATGTTGCCTTGGGCAGTGATTCATAGTAACTGGTCGAGGTAAATGTGTGATCGACAGCGTTCGTAGTGGTTCTTGCCTCCAGAATCGTAGTCATCAGAGCCTTTCCAACCTGCTCCAGGCAACGAGAAGGTTGCTGTGCACTGGAGTCATCCACTGATGTTGCGTCTTTGTCGTTCTTGACTGCTTTGCCAGCACCGTGTTGTGGCCAATGAAAAAAAGGGGGTACCGACACGGGTCTGCTTCTGTTACTGTCGTAGGCGCTGTATGCCGCGGTAATATGGCTGCCAGTTTGACCTGTTTCTTTGTCGCCCGCTACTACCAAATTGATTGAAAGGAGATCATTCCGCATGGTTATATCCCTCCACATGTTCGGTGTGAGACTGCAGTTGCTATCTCGGGATCTTTGTTGCAAATGAATCTCCGCATCCAAACTCTTATTGTTGAAGATGTATCCAATCATGCGAACCTTCGCCTCCATCTGAAAGTACGATCTGCAAGTGCTGAGGGGGAATATAAATTCACGTTCTCCCCAGTCCGAAAATTTGATCATTGTCAGATCGTTGTCTGCAACAGGCTGAACACCGAGCTTTTTGATGTTCTCTTGGATGATGGCCATTGAATTTGTCATTTCCTTGGAGAGTGGCACATGCCCACACGATACAACATGACTGGACCCCATGATCATAAACCAGATATTCGGTACATGGATGATGTTCTCGGAGCGCGTGTCATCAAATCTCCGATAAGACTGTTCCTCATCTCGATCGCGTACTGGCTCATAGGGGTAGAATGTCTGCATCAGGGTTCGTTGTGGAAACAGGTCATTCTCGGCACGGGGAGGCTTCTTGGCTTGGGTGCTCAAGGAGAAGTATGGGACGCAGGCGAAAATGACAGACTGTGGATCCGACTGGTCTGATTCATCAGCTCGCAAAACCGTCCCTGGCTCAATAAACATGCCACCATCGAAAGGCTTGACCTTTTCGGTGTACACCTTGGTAAGCATCTCCGAAGTAAGTTTGCGTAGCTGGTCACTGGTATGTGGCATGGTCAGGCAGACATCCCTGAAACGAGCAAAATCAAGCTGAGTGGCCGAAATATGACACCACGTAAATGATACTGCATCTTCCAAGTGAGGGTTTTCCGGCCCTGGTAGAACGTGGACCTGAAGCTGGTTCTGTCCTTGAGTCTCTCTGATTATGGCTTTAGTGATTCGAAACGTCTCGACGCGATAATTGTCAACATCTTTTCTTTTTGAGTGAGCCTGCGTGTCGTTTTTTTGATCCTGGAGGTCCTGGCTGAATCCAATTAGGTTCTGTACATGCCTCGTGTCGACTTGAAAGGATAGCTGGTTTCCATCGACATCCATCGGAGCGACCACTTCACGAGGCGGCTCCGGTGGGTCTGCTTGTTCTGTAGGCGAATCTTGGTCGCTCGTTGACGTGACGCTTTCAGAAGAATCAGAGTTGGAGGCAAGGTCAGTTTCCCGACGAGGTACCGACGGCACCCATGGCGAGTCGTCCTCGAATGTTACGACGCGAATGTCATCGTCAGTGTCACGTACATCGACTCGCTCACTGTCTCGCTGAAGTCGCACAGGTGACCATGTGCGAGAACGAGACGATGGACGTCGACGATAATCAACCTCAGAGTCAGACTCTTCCTGTGGAAATTCGATATTGAGATTTATACGAGGCCGCACAACAGCAGCCCAAACACTTGGGAGTATAGTAGCACCCTGTGTTTTAATTACATAGTCGTCCTTTGTGATTCTGTCGAGGTAGGATTGGCTATATTTGGCGTATATCTCTCTCAAAAGAGGCTCTGCGCCCTGCAATGTCACAGGTCAGTAGTTGCACAAGCGCGGAGGTTGTGATTGTATGTATGAGTATGTGTACAGAGGGAGAAGATCAAAAGGTGCATGGTAGACGTGCCTCTTTGGAGCGAAATTGCTGAAAAGGAAGGACATAACGAATGCCGAGGTGATCGGTCAAGTAAATCATGTTTCTCTCATCGCGAATGTCCTCATTGCGACTGTCGTTACTATGGGAGCTGGCGGTAGAGACCCATTCATCCGATTGTCGGCTATCGCGCCGCCGTAAGTCTGGCTCGGGCTCGGGCTCCATGCATCAACAGATCGGGGGGACAACAAGAAGCTGTTCGAAGAGAGAAGAAGAATGTAGGAGCGAACATGATGAGCTGAGGCGACATAGGGGTCCTAGGTAGATAGCTGCAGGATGGAGTGTTAGCGTTGCCGTTCAGCTCTCCTCTCGCTAGCGTGCTGTGGGGTCCAAAATGGCATGTCCCCGCGGGACGGGCCCGATGCAGACGGAGATGCCAAGCCAGGGATCATATGAACAACGACAACTAAACATGGACTATTAAAGTAACAACATAGAATTCGATACCATCATCAACTGAATTCACAACAAAGCGACTGATGACCTAACAAAGGAATAAGATTCAAGCCCAGCTCAAGGGCGTGTTGGATATTACAAAAACACTACTAGTGTACAGCGATATATTTGCACAAGCTTACTACAAGGACAAAAGGAAACAAAAGATGTGTATGTGAGAGAGACTGAGACGTGCTGTGATGTGCAGTATCAAGCAGAGGGGGTTATCCAACTAGTATCGAACGGAGCGCGCCATCTAGGCAGCGGTGCTAACGGTTGCGATCGTAAATCATGATGGTATCGTTTTGGTCGAGGAGATGGTGCAGAAGTGCTGTCGCTATTAGCGGTTATGGACGGTGCCAGCATATGTACATTGTGCCTGTATCTTCAAGGAGGGGTCAGTGGTGAAGAAGGGGTGGGGCGGTGGTCACGCGGCAGTGGCAGTGGCAGTGGCAGTTGCAGGTTGTGGTATGGATGCTGGCACAGGTGGCGGTTGTGTGTTTGCCGAGTTGGTGGCTGACGGGGGCATGCGCATCTGCTGCGCATCCTTTTTAACAAGCAGGCTTTTGAATGCTCCGAGCCACCTTGCGAGCGAATCGTCGTCGGATGCACAGAACTTGTAGTTCTTCTCCTCGCATATGACTTGCATGCAGTGTTGCTTGCTGCGCGAGAGGGGGTCAATGTCGACGGCGTCGATGATGCTTGTAAAAGGTATGATGTGCGTGGCAGAGTATTCCCCGTCGTTCTTGTAAAAGGCAAGGCATTTTGGACGGAGGACGACCCAGATCTTTTTCCATTGGCGCACGCCGCCCTTTGACTTGAGGATGTACAGCCAGCCGTGGTAGACGACGCGCTCGTCGCCGGGTGTGGCGCCAATATTGCTGTGCTGGCTGAGACTGCGCTTATCCTGTGTGATCTGTCGGGGCAGCGGGTTGGACGAGGCCTGATTTGTGTCGGAAAAGTCAAAGTCGGAGATGGAGCCATACTCGCCGCCCGAGTAGTTGAGAGCCTGCGAGGGTCGGCGGGCGCTGTGCATGTGCTCAGGCACCATGGAACTCGAGGGTCGCGGTTCAGTCTCGGAGGAGCTAGAGACGACATTTTCCCGATTGGCCGAGGCAGAAGCAGCAAAAGTGACCTTGTCAGGAGCTGGGCTCAGGACGGCCATGTCGGCCTCATCCTCGACGCCAATGCGAGCCTCTGTGCGGATGAGGTGGACCCATTCCTGGGCGGCCTTGTCTGTCGAGGCGCCGAGGTGGTAGTTGCGGGCAGGGGAGAAGATGCCAAAGACGTGGTCCATCTTCTTCTTCGAGTCTCGCTGGCGGGCGACGGCGGTGATCTCGGCGAGGTTGATCTGATGGCGCAGCTTGGTCTCGTCCTTGTCCTTGTAGATGGAGAGGCAGTTTGGGCGCAGGACAAGGTAGACGGGCTTCCATGACTACAAGGCGAGTTAGCAGACGTCTGGGGCACCAGTGGCCATGGGCGTGCCTTTGTCTTGCGCGTGCGCTTCACCACAGTGCCGGCCTTGATGATGCGGTCAAACTCGAAGCAGCCGTTCTGGTTGACGGGCGACATGAGGTCGACGGTGGTGTTGATCGTCTTGGAGTTGGGCATGCCAGGCGTGTCGAGGGTCATGGCGGTAGGGCGCATTTCTGGCGGGTGTGTGGGTGGGTGGTTGTCCAGTGTGGCTGCCATGTCGGGGGTGTGGGAGTTACATTCACGGGCGGCGGGCTGGATGCAGTCAAGTGCAGGAGCGAGGGTTTGTACGTGTGCGTATGCGTGTTTGTGTGTGTGTTTGTATGTGTGTGTATACGTGTGTATGTGTATGGGACGGGGCATGGAGGAGCGGAGGTCGAGGGAGTCGAGTATATTCCGAGTGTTATTGGGGGGTGAGAGTGAGAGAGATGGAACATACATAGCACATACGCGAAGGACAGGGACAGGGGCGATGCAGGGCCATGGGCGGGCCCGCGCTACCTACCAAGCCCATCACTGGCCGCGACAACCACTGCCGGCCAGATGACCGGCCCAACCAAAGTCACACCAACGAATGTCTATGTACAGGTGTATACATACATACATACATGGCTGGGGGAGACATGGCGCAGAGCACGGGGAGGCATGTTCTATGTCTGCACGTGTATTATTTTTGTGGATATACATTTTGGACAGACTACATTACTACTTAGGAACTATAGTGGGCTCGCTGACGTCTTGGTGCATACACCTCTGCTTGGCTGCCGCTGCCGCCCCTCCACAAAAAAAGTGAGCCATCCTGACGCGGGATGATGGCGACGATAGATATGGTGATGCTGTCGAGACTACATGCACATACATACGTCGAGACCAGCTGTTACTGCAGCTCCACATCCTGATTGTTTCACTCACCCCGTCCACGCGCCCTCGGATACCCACACAGCGCCCTCGCAGCCTGACGAGCGCCCGCAGGCTCCCCTCCCCTCCAATCTGACCACTGCACGCGCGCCCTCGCTGCATCACGACTGAAACACTCGCAACCGCCAGGATGCCTGTCGTTGCCAGTCAAAAGCTCGTCGCCCTGCAGCAGGCTGCTGACGGCATCAGGAACATCTGCATCCTGGCCCACGTCGTACGTCGCCCCTCGCTCAGCCTCATTCACCTCCGTCCACTAAACACGCCCACGTAGGACCATGGCAAGACGTCCCTCACCGACGCCCTCATCGCCACCAATGGCATCATCTCCCCCAAGCTCGCCGGCAAGATCCGCTACCTCGACTCGAGGCCCGATGAGCAGCTGCGCGGCATCACCATGGAGTCGTCGGCCATCTCCCTCTTCTTTTCCTCGTTGCGTCGCTCCGCCCCCGACGCCACCCCCGAGCACAAGGAATTCCTCATCAACCTCATAGACTCCCCCGGGCACATAGACTTTAGCTACGAGGTATCTACAGCATCCCGCCTCTGCGATGGCGCCGTCGTGCTCGTAGATGCTGTCGAGGGCGTCTGCAGCCAGACTGTCACCGTCCTGCGACAGACATGGATAGAGAAGCTTAAGCCTCTGCTCGTTATCAACAAGATGGATAGGCTAATCACAGAACTCAAAATGAGCCCTGCCGAAGCACATACGCACTTGAGTAAACTGCTTGAACAGGTAAACGCCGTGATGGGTAGCTTCTACCAAGGCGAGCGCATGGAGGATGACCTCCGGTGGCGCGAGAAAATGGAAGAGCGCCTCAATGCCGCTGCCGCTGCTGCTGACAAGACTGACACGCGATCTCCATCTGTGCTAGAAAACGGTGACAGCATTGACATGACCAGTACCCCCGCCGAGTACGAGGAAAAAGACGACGAAGACATTTACTTTGCCCCAGAAAAAAACAACGTCATCTTCGGCAGTGCCATTGACGGCTGGGCTTTCACTGTGAGACAATTTGCAAGCCTGTACGAGAAGAAGCTGGGCATCAAGCGCTCCATTCTCGAAAAAGTCCTCTGGGGCGACTTCTACCTCGACCCCAAGACCAAGCGTGTCCTTAGCTCAAAACATCTCAAGGGCCGACACCTCAAGCCCATGTTTGTCCAACTCGTCTTGGACAACATCTGGGCCGTATACGAGGCCACTACAGGAGGTAACAATGGGAAGGGGTGCGTGGATTTCCTTTCCTTGTGTGATACTTTCCACATGTATCTTAGCAATATACTTATGCCTTTTATTACAGAGATGCTACCATGGTCGAGAAGATTACCAAGTCGCTCAACCTCAACCTCCCTGCCCACGTTATGCGCTCCCGCGACCCCAGGACTCTCTTAATGGCGCTTTTCGCAGCCTGGCTTCCGCTCTCAACCGCTCTCTTAGTATCGGTGACAGAATACCTACCTCCCCCGTCCAAAGCGCAATTCGAACGCATGCCTGAAATTATTGACACCTCACCCGGCGCCGATTACGTTGATCCACAAGTACGAGATGCAATGACCAATTTCAAAACATCAGCAGATGCCCCTGTCGTAGCCTACGTTAGCAAAATGATCTCGGTACCTTCGAGCGAGCTGCCCCAGAACAAGCGAAGAACTGGCGCCCTGACCGCCGAAGAGGCAAGAGAGTTGGGGAGAAAGAAGAGGGCCGAGATTGCCCGCCAGCAAGCAATCGCCAATAACCAAGATCCAGATGTTGGCAGTGTCACCGATGCTCTGGGCTCTTCAACCATTGAAGAAACTGAGACTCCGGTAGAGGAAGCTCCGGCAGCTGAGGAAGAGGCAGAACACCTAATCGGTTTCTCGCGTATCTTTTCGGGATCTCTCAACGTGGGCGATGAAGTATACGTTCTCGGTCCAAAGTTCACTCCCGCAAACCCACACGCTGCACCGGAACCACAAAAGGTCAAGATCACGGCTTTATACCTCATGATGGGCCGCGGCTTGGAGCCCTTGACCTCGGTACCTGCGGGCGTCGTCTTTGGAATTGGTGGACTCGAAGGACATATACTCAAGTCAGGTACGTTGTGTTCACAATTGCCCGGAGCTGTCAATCTGGCTGGTGTCCAAATGGGCAGTGAGCCAATCGTCCGTGTTGCCCTCGAGCCTGAGAACCCCTATGATTTGGACAAGATGATCAGAGGCTTGAAACTCCTCGTTCAGAGCGACCCGTGCGCAGAATACGAGCAACTGCCCAGTGGGGAGCACGTGATTCTCACTGCGGGAGAACTGCATTTGGAGAGATGTTTGAAGGATTTGAAAGAACGATTCGCCAAGTGCGAGATACAGGCTGGCGAGCCCATCGTACCTTACCGAGAGTCCATTATCGCGGCGGCCGAGATGAATCCGCCAAAGGACCCCAATCTACCCAGAGGCACTGTCATTGGTGAGACAGCAAGCAAGCAGGTGTCAGTACGTCTACGGGTATGTCCACTGCCAGCCAGTGTCACCGATTTCTTGGGAAAGAACGCCGGCGCTATCAAGAAATTATACTCGGACCGACGAGCAGAAGACGAAGGCGGAAATGCAGAACATCAGGAGCATGGAACTGAAGACGACGGCATCCAAGAAGCGGAGAAACGCGAGATAGGACAGAGTCTCAGCTTGGAGGAGTTCAAGAAGCAGCTCAAAGAAGCTTTTGCTGAAGCAAAGGGTCAAAAGGAAGTGTGGACTGATGTGATTGAGAAGATTACTGCGTTTGGGCCTCGGAGAATAGGCCCCAATATTCTCGTGGATGCAACCCCAGATAGCATCTGCGGAAAGGCGTAAGTTTGTGATGTTATCCTGGTTACTGTTTTTTTTAAGATGCTAACAAACATCCTAGACTACGCGATTCATCGTCTCCCAACCCAGACGCAGAAGAGCCATCAGACCGCACAATATCCCCACGCACCTTTTCCTCAACCATTGCCTACGCTTTCCAGCTAGCCACAGCCCAAGGCCCCTGTTGCGCGGAGCCCGTGCAAGGCATCGCCATCTTCTTAGAATCCGTGACACTGAACCTGGGCGAAGACGAAGGCGCACAGCAAGACCGCGGCCGCCTAACGGGCGAAGTCATCAAAGCCGTGCGCTCATCCATCCACCAGGGCTTCCTCGATTGGTCTCCCCGCATGCTCCTCGCAATGTACAGCTGCGAAATCCAAGCCTCGACCGATGTCCTGGGTCGTGTCTACGCTGTCCTGACTCGTCGCCGCGGCACTATTCTCAGCGAAACCCTATCATCCACTTCCTCCGCGTCCACAACGGGATCCCAAACATTCACCATCAACGCGCTCCTCCCTGTTGCCGAATCCTTTGGTTTCAGCGACGAGATCCGCAAGAGGAGTTCGGGCTCGGCGTCCCCGCAGCTCCGCTTTGCGGGTTTCGAGATGCTCGACGAAGATCCCTTCTGGGTCCCTTTTACGGAAGATGAACTTGAAGATTTGGGTGAGTTGGCTGACCGCGAGAATGTGGCAAAGAGGTATGTGGATAAGGTAAGGAAGCGCAAGGGACTCCGTGTTGCGGGCGAGAAGGTTGTGGTTGATGCGGAGAAGCAGAAGACGCTTAAGCGGTAAGTGTGTGTGTGCGTTGGTCTGGGGTATGGAAAAGTTAAAACAAAATATACAATGGGAAAATGGGACGTATCATTGTGAATGATGTAATGAGAATTTTTTTATTCCATCAAAAATTTCTTTCCGAGATGTTTTATCTTGTTCTCTGTTTTTTTTTTCAAAAGAGAACAGCAGGATATACTAGAATTTGGCAAAAATCGATAAACCTATGCTTTTCCCCTTCATCATCAAAACTGCCCTTATCCCGATTGCCATTACCTTTGACCTTCTTATCCCTCTTTCTTCCCTTTTCATACGTATCGTGATTCATGCAAAAAAAAACAATAAGGAACCCCCCTGCTAATCAACCTGACATTATCCAGAAATGACCCAAACCTCTCAACAAATAAATAAACAAGAACCCACGTATAAGTTTATGCACTACCAGGCGGACCCCCCATATTCAACAAAATATCCAACATGTCCATGCCTCCAATGTCCGGTCCCATGGCCGTCTGGTTAATCTCTGCACCCCACTGGTCCAGCAGTGGGTCTAGGGGTAAGGCAAGCCAGTCTTGGTCATGGCCGGTACCCCAGCCACCACCACCGTTATTTGCCCACTGGCTCCATTGCGTACCATTGGTTCCATTCGAGTTTGAGCCATTGCTGTTGCTGTGATTGTTGCCGTTGGTATTTGCAGAGAAGTTGGTGTAGTTGCCGGGTGGGGGCATGATGGATATACTGTTCGAGTTTGGATCGTATGGTTCGGATGAGATGCCCCAGAGTGGAGTCGCCCGCCCGCTTGTACTCAGTCCTATACTGGGTGATCCAGGAACGCTGGTGCCAGATCCTGAGAAACCCGTTTGCTGAGATCCCATGTATGGTGGTGCAAGGTGGTTGGTGTTGTTGAGCGCAGA